GTCCCCTCCACCCAGTGTAGATGGTAATTAAAGTTTCAAGTTCAAATTGATTGATTGATTATCCTTTGTGATTGTAAAGCAAATAAGACAATTAATGGGAAGAATTCATGCTTCAGCAAAGCTCCAAAGCACTCTAATGTAAAAGGATTATTACATTTGGCATTTGTTCAAATACTTGACAATCAAAAGCCACACTGGACCTGAGTCAGCCTTAAAAACAATGAAGTCTCTGGAATTAACTCAGGTGTGCCATCTGGGTAAAATCCAGCCGTTTATTATGCAGTCAAGAGGAGAGAGAAGTGGTTTACGTCTTTAAGATGGTTAATTTAAAAATCTCAAATTTAAAATCACAAGTTACATCCCCACAACAGCCAATCCAAACATACATATTTACATCTACCCATACACAGTTGAGGCCACATATTTACACCTAGGCTAAAAACATTCAAACATATTTGTGTTACCATACATTTCTTGTGTTAAGTCAATAGGGTATTTACTTTATTTCCATAAGAGATCATTTCAAAAATAAAAATTTCAGCTTTTGTATACTAGAACAGATTTACAGTGGATCAAAGGTTTAAATACACCATGCAAGGGTGGCAGCATTATGTTGGTGTTGTTTTGCTGAAAATGGGACTGGTGAATTTAGAAAATCATGAGGAAGGAGGATTATCTGCAAATACTGAAGCAAGATCTCAGCTAGAAGTCAGCTAGAAATGTGGAGCTCAGAGGTAATTCAGTCTTCCAGCAGAATAACAATCCTAAGCATACGAAATGGCTCATAGAAAACAAAGTAAAAGTACTGGAGTGGCCAACACAAAGCCCTGACCTGAATCCAATAGTGAATTTGTGGACTGAACTAAAAAGGGGTGTCCGAGTAAGGAGGCTAAGAGTAAGTCTGTCAAGAGTGTTACAGAGAAGCTTGTGGACAAATTCTCTAAGCATCTGGTTTGAAGTGAACCAATTAAAAGGCAATGTCACCAAATACTGAGAAAGAAAACTAGGAGAATTTAAATATTTAGCCTCAATATGTACGTTATGCCATTCAGGGTTAATGAGCCTGGAGCCTCTCCCAGCATGCTTCACCAGAAAGGCTGGGAGGACCATGGCGATGTTTCAAAATAGCAAACTGAAGGTGTGGAATCAAGTGGACATATATTATGGTGGAAGGGTCTAATGTAAGTGTGACGGACCACCGTCACTATGGTTGAGTATGCACTGTGACTGCCATACCAACGAGCCAGGCTCTTTGGCGTTGCGGTCAAGTTGCATGTTTGGTACCCTGTAAATCTGGGTGGGGTGACTGCTCTTGCCTTTCCGTCACATATGGTATCAGAAGTGGGATGGCTTGCCGTGAAATTGTCAGAGGCGTACCCTGTGATGTGTATGTGGGACCCCCAGGGTTGGTGGACCCCTGTGTGTGTGAGGGACCCCAGAGAGGGTGTGGATGCAGAGGTCACCGTCACTTTGGTTGAGTATGCACTGTGACTGCTATACCAACAAGCCTGGCTCTTTGGAACTGTGGTCAAGTTGCATGTTTGGTACCCTGTAAACCCGGGTTTGAATCCGCTCTTACCTTTCCGTCACAGAAAGACCTTATTAAGTTGCACTATTAGAACTGTAGGATCCAGTGTTTTTGGAGTTCGACCCCCCACTCTGGGAGTGTAATACTAAATCTGTTTCATTAATAATTGCAAATCTTTGAAATTCTATATATGATAGTATTCCAAAAGTTCAGCTTGAAGTTAGAAAAAGAAAATACCTCACATAATGAGATCACAAGTGTACTGTACCTGTAACACTTTACTGAAGCTATGTGCTCACATTGACTAACATGTCACATGCTAACGGTCAGTGGCTGCAGTAGGTAACCAAATGAAAAACTTTAAGTCCTCTTCTGCATGATGTCATACTCATTTCTAATATATATGTATTTATGTGAAAACGTTGGGTTTATCATTATTCTGGCAATTTTTGGATATTGGATAATAATCTTTTTGTCAATAAAATGTCACAAAATTGTGAAAAATACCCATTATAACTTCACATTCCCAAATTGGCTGTTTGTCCATACAACAGTCATAAACACCAAAGATATTCAGTTTACTATCATTTTGACAAAAAAATTTAAATATTGAAACAATTAATTTACTAATTGTTTCTCATCTATTTGGGATCTTCTACAAAATATACAATAATGGACCCAGTGGTGGGTCTGGCATGACTGAAGTGGTTTTAACCAAACAAAATAAAAGCCACAGACTTAGCTGAGCTGACGGGCAGTTCAGTTTAAGGTGAGTGACAGAACTAAGGCAAGTGTATGGGCAAGAAGCAAGTTTTCATTTAAAAAACATAAACATAAAGTCACATGCTATTGAAACAAAGCTTTTTGTATGTTGGGGGAATCCTGGAGACGGAGCTAACATGTCTCTACAGGACGCTGTGGTTGCTGCATTTAGCCCAAACTGGCGTGCCGGAGCTTCAACCCAGATGAAGTGTTGATCCCACCTACAGAGCCATTGTTGTTTTATCTTGTAGGTGGCATATGTTACATTGGGGAGACTTTGTTGATGTCACTCAAACATGTAAATACAATGTGTGCATGCAGGTATGAACATGTCTGAAAATGATGTGCACCACACACACTGACACACAAATGTGTTCTTCAAACCTCCACAAAGTTGCATCACACACAGTGAGCAGATGTCTGGAAATCCCCTGTTCAGTCATGACATCAGGTCGTCTGCAGTGTAACACAGGGAGTATGTTATGAAAGATTTCAGAGGATGCTGATCTGACATTACTGGGAATGACTAACTTTATGGAATGCAATTATAAGACGTGAGCAGAATCTGGTGTGATACCCTAAACCACTGCGACACAAATATGATAAGATATACCCCTGCAGAGATCCAAGATAAAAAGTAGCCCAAACTTGAGACAAATGATCTGCGCAGTGGAAGAAATCTCTCTAGGGTAAATATTTAACCACAAAAAGTCCCAGATATCAGCAGGCATTCAGTATTTTGCACAAAAACAGGTTGATTATGCTAGGGGGAGGTAATGTTTGCAGGATAAAGAGGATTAGCGTGAATGGAGATGAGAGACTGATCCTCCTCTGTAAACACATAGAATATAAACCTCTTAAGTTAACAAGCTCTATGATAGATTTTTAACCTTCCTACATGAAAAACACTTGGGAGAGCTACTGCTGACAATGACGAAAGAAGTATTCACATCCTTCACTTAATCAATTGTGCACATACTATGTTAAAATACTTCATTACAAGTGCAGCATTCAAAATCCTACTTAAACCCTCAATTACTGATTTTTTGGGCCACCGTGGGCAGCGAAAACAAGTTAATGTACGTAATGTACATATTTAATACTGTTGCACTGTCACCCAGCTGGGCAGGGCTGTTTTTTTCTGCAGACATGATGCACAAACAAAAGCCTCTGCGGTGTTGCTCAGCAGCTGAGTGTCTGTTTTCCTGATGTCTCCCACTCTCTAAGTAGCTATCTGCTGTTTTCTCCTTTTTCCCCTGAGTCAGCAGACAAGCAGATCTTAACCTCCACCAGTTGCCAGAGGACTTGCCCCTGCCTGCTTAATCTAAATCGCTCACTCACACTGTTGACAGCTACACCAGAGAGCAGACCTAGTATCCATCAAGCTGCACAGAGTTTGATACCAATGTAATCCTGTTTGAGCATACAGTACAATGACAAAACATACAAAATGCTTTTTACTGCAAGATAAGAATGCTCAAATCTAAAACACAAATTCTTTTCCATTTATTAAATACAGTATCCCATCCATACTCATTTGAATGTGCATGTAGGCTATTTATATATATTATTATCATTCTCCTTTCTTTATTGTTTGACAATGTAAATGGTGTATTCTAGCCCTGGCTGAACTAAATCAGGTGTCTTGTAAGCACCTGCGGGCTGGTCGTAACAGTAGGCTATATGACACAATAATAAAACAAGAACTTCACACTTCAAACAAACTCAACCATAAATGAATTGAAAATGTATTACAACTACACAGTGACTGAGATTCTCAGGGTTAATTATTTCATCTGTCATGTTAGCAGCTTTAAATCTGACCTGTTGGCCATCATAAACTTTCAGTGAGCAACTTCATTTATTTCATAACAAACATCAGCCAGATAAATTGAGGATGAAGAACAGAAGAGTTTGCAGCGCTAACTTTAAAGGTAACTGTGGAATACAGTTTCACTTCACTTAATTTTAGCTACTTATGGTTTTATGAGCTGAAACATACAGCTGCTACTAGCAAGGTTTTCCTGGTTTTCCAGTACTTTACTTAAAACGTACTAGTCGCTGTTTAAAAGAAACTAGTACTTATTTATTAGTTCCATTACTTACAAGTAACTATTCCATTAAAATTTTACTATCAACAAGCCATTTAACTCGCCATTAGTGAATAAATGCACAATGAAAATGATAGTAGGAGCCTATTTTTTAGAATAATTACTTGTAAGTAATGAATAGATTCTAGGCCTAGTCTCTAAATAATATATATATATATATATATATATATACTAAGATACTAGTCAAATGGAAATAGTTACTAGTGACTAATAAAAAGATCATATCTGAACTGCACAGCCTCATAGATTTCAAATTGTAGCCTAACTTATTGGCAAAAATGTGCAATTAGTTACAAGTAACTAAAAACTGTTGCTAGTAACTAATGGAATAGTTAGGCTACTAGAACAGCACTAGTATCTAACCAATTGTTACTAGTAAAACGAGAATAGTTTCTTGTAACTAATGGAATAATTAGTTATTAGTAGGCTAACTAATAAATAAGTACTAGTTGCTTTTAGATAGCGACTAGTAGCCTAAGTTTTAAGGACTGAATGTTAAAACGGCTTGCCATAGGCGTCCTCTTTTGTCCCTAACACTGTGTGATGTCTAGCTTTTTCCCGTGCACAAAGTTTTCTCTGGACCAGAGTGTTTGACTCACCTGCAGCTGCTTGGACGTGCTGACGGTCCTCCGGTCGTGTACCGGCAGGGAATGAACGCAGAGGAAAAGGTGCAGAGGTAAGATGCTGCCGCAAAACACGGCAGCCCGCATCATCTTGTCCCACAGACACGGGCTGGTACCACAGACTGGTACACAGGAAGAGGACTGAAGCGGCTGAGGAGGACGTCGTGTTGTGGAATGAATGCCGGCAGGGATTCTTGCAGCCTACCGAGGGATTTCTTTGTCCTCTTCCGATAACTTTTTTTCCCAAGTTTTTTTTTCCAAGTTTCAACTGCACTACTCACGTGATTTAACCCCTTTGACTCCAAACGTACCACGACCAGGCCTAATGCAAGTGACAGGTTGCTGTAGCCCAGCCTGTCTGCCAGAGCAGATAGCACAGAATAGTTATCTATAAAATAACAAGACAAAGTGAATGTCATAAAATAAAGGTGCTGTCCAGCTGCTTTTGAAGTGTGAGTTTTATTTTATTTCTTATTTTTTGACATTAACCTTCATAAGATGATGATGAGCTCTTTGGCCGGACTCTAACCGGGTACACTGCAGTTCATGGTCGGCACCCTAACCCTAGGCCACAAGGCACCCCAGTGATGCCTGGACCTTGTCAGGATTAGGAAGGTACAAGGTCCAGATGGAGTGGCACCCTCCTGTCTGAACATCTGTGCTGACCAGCTGGTCCCCATCTTCACCGGATCTACAACATATCACTGGAGCTGTATGAAGTCCCCTCACTACAAACTCTCAACAATCTTTCCGGTCCCCAAGAAACCTTCTATCACAGGACACAATGACTACATCCTGCAACACCTCAACCCCCCAGGAACATAATGCAAGGATACTGTTTGTGGACTTCAACACCATCAACCCAGAAATCCTCAAAGAGCCCTCAAACAGGACAGGAACAGACTATAACCAACAGTCAGGGCTAACCTACCCTCCATTCAGGACTTACACATGCCCAGAGTCAGGAAACATCAGACCCTCCATCACACCCTAGATATAACCTTTTCCTACTTCCCCCTCTGGTAGGAGCTCCAGAGCACTGTTTCTTAACACAGGCCATTGCTCTGACAAACAGTTAAATCAGGCATTTAGTGTCAATAACCCTGTGACACTAAAACATCCCAGCATACACTTTATAAATTATTTCTGTAGAGTTTTAAATACACACTGTGCTTTAACACTGTCAATATAAATCCTGCACGCTGTATGTACTGTAGAAAGACATTTATACATGCATGTACTGTACATTCACTTCATAAAGTAGTTAATAAAGTAAGGTAATAATAATCTGTTACATTAAATTGCAATCTATTAGATTACTTATTCAATATGTATTTCATTTGCTCTATTTGTATTGTCTACAATTTACAGAAACTAAATGTACATATACTGTAACTATTGTATGTACCTATCTTTGTTCAGCTTCATTGTCTTTATTTTGTAGCTATATGTCTCTTTCTGTCTTCCTGTAAATGATTCTGTGTGTAAGAACCATAGACTGTTTAAGAAATAAAACTGGAGTCGAATTCCTTGTATGTTTACACATACTTTGCCAGTCCAGTAGATGTTTTGGAAAACAAAAAAAAGTATGAATGAACTTGCTACCAACATAGCTGGCTCAAAAAATGAATTAAATTGAGTTCACTGTAATTATACATACAACATGAATCACAGCAGGGCATGTCTTTGTGGATTCTTTCATTTTATTCTCAGACCATCACAGTTTCGATTACAGTTGATATGGATAAGGTGATTCAGTAGAATTGCCTTCAAACTTTTTTCTCCAGTTCAACTTTTTCAATTAGGAACAAAAATTCCATAATTGCCTTTCCACAGAACTTTAGTCAAACCATATCTGCTCCTTAACCAGAGAGCCTTTTGCTGATCAAACTGAATTCCTCCTGCATTAGCTCAGTGGGTCTATTCTACAGGTTAACCACAGCTTATGTGTAGAACAACTGATTCTCTGTCTCCTGTCGAGTGTTCCTCTGACATGTAAAACAAGTTGCTCCTCTGCCTGTCTTTGTTTGCACTGGTAGTAAAATCAGACCAGCTGCTGCACTGTCTGGAGGGAAACACCACTCAGGCTCTTTGTGTGATTCAGCCTCTGGCAGACAGATGCAGAATTATGCTGGATAACAGAAACAATTCATCATCCACTACTTCACACACTGACAGTTTTAATGTCTGAGTTTGTGTGCAGTAGGCAATTACACACACACACATTTGTGAATGATGCAGGCACCAACATGTATTGAACACTAAATAAAGACGATTAAGATGACACTTGGGTTATGACCCCTTACTCTATGTTTATCACATTATTTAATTGTCAGACTGCTGGGCGACTTCCTATTATGCATTGAGCTCATCTCTTCTCCTCTCCCTCTCCATCTGTATACATTCTTATCCTATTAATGCATGTTACTAACTTGACTTCTTCCCTCTCCCGTAGTTTTGCTTTCTTTTCCCTCTCCACTCTCCTTCTGTCGCTTTCTGCAGGTGTTTCTGGCTCCGGAGCTGAGGGGTCTGGATCTGTGGTTGTGGGCTTCCTGCTGCTTCCATGTTCCTGCCTGACACCTGTTGCCACAATTAGTATTATTAGTCCTATTACTATTATTATTATATATTAATATTAGTAGTACTATTATTCATTTTCTGTCTTTACCACTACCACTTTCGTCTTTCTGTGTGGATATTGTGTTGTATCAGCAGGGGGCGCTGTTGCATTTGCTCCGCACACCAAACGCCACGGAAGCAAGCGTCAAGTTGGCTGGAGATGATGGCGCTTTAATAAAAATCTTCGAAGTAAAGGTTTAAAAGCAGCCGCCGGTATTTCAGAACGTTTACCAAAATGAGCAGTTATGGTCAAATATCTGAAACATTCCTTCTGTATAGCTTACTTGATTTCATTTCGGTGCTTTTTATTACTAAAATATTGTTTGGTCGGTGAACATGTGTATTTTGAAGGTTCTTACAGGATGTGCTTAGTTGACCTGACACCGGTGATGAAACTTGAAAATGAAGGAACGGTGAGGAGGAAGAAGAAAAGGAACTTGCTAGCTTGCTAACTCCTTTAGCAGGCTTCTGGTTTTAGCGTTTTCACAATGGCGCCTTTAGACCTTGATAAGTACGTTGAAATAGCAAGACACTGCAAATACCTGCCGGAAAATGATCTAAAGGTGAGTTCAAGTAGCCGAACTTAACGTAGGCTACGGTTTGTTATTATCAGTGGAAGCAAACCAGGCGACTCTAACAGTTAACTTACGAGGTTTGTTCGACAACCGTGGCTAGTAACTTAACTGCTAACCTAAGTTATTAAACGGAGGCAGTGAAACGTTATTGTTACTTGTGTTCACATTTTACCGCCGTCACCGATATTAGCGATCATCGTCTAGCAAACTCGGATGCAAATTTGAGTGTGGACGGGAGAGTCGAAGAGGAAGCTGTGCTGTTAAATGCTGCTGGCTATTAACAGCTAACGTTAAATGGTGCGAAACACGGCAGGGCACAGCAAACAGTTTCATCAGCGGCTAAGTCAGCAAATGTTACTTTAACATGTTTAGCGTTCGAATACTAGGTCACGTCAAAGGTTAACTTAACGTTAACTAAAACACTTGTTCAGGGAAGCAATACGTAACGTTAACTACTGTTTAACAAAAATGCCGCAGAGCTATTCTAAATCTGTTATTCACCCTCCTCTCCTGACCCTGCTAACATCTCATCTGCAGACAGTACTCTTATTATGATTTTCTGTAGTACTTTCCTCTGCCCTGAACTGTCACACTAATCAAAAGCAATAGTAATCGCAGCAGCAGTTTGTTGGTTTCATACTTCAGCAGAATGATAAGGGAGTAATATACATATTGTTCATTGTGCATCCTTGTTTTTAGAATCACAAGGAGCTTTAATGCCAAATATTGTTTTACACATACAAGGAATTTGCTGTGGCGATAAGGTGCTACATGTAGACAAACATACAGTCAACATAAATAAATGTAGAAATATATAAATATGGAATAGAAGAACAACGTTGCAGATATGCACATGTGCATTAGTCTGGGTCTGTGCTGTGCAGAAGTAACACAACGGAAGAGAATGTTGTGTAAATATAAATGTATAAACTGACAACATAAAAATATACGACAACAACAAAGATCAACAATCAACAGCAAATATGTGCAACGTGCCAGGTCTGTGCCCGACATGAGATGAAACAGTAAAAAGGGAGGGGGAAGAGGACATTGGTTCTCTGCATTTAACTCATCATATTTAGGAGAAGTGGGCTGCCATCGTGCGGCGCCCGGGGAGTGGTTTGGAGTTCAGGGCCTGGCTCAGGGGGCACCTGAGGCATTGGTTGGCGTTGGACTTGATCCAGCGACCCACCGGTTTCCAAGCCAAGTCCCAACAGACGGAGTTATTTACGTCCTTGTTTAACTTTTTAGCCCCAAAGTCACTGTGAGACCGTTCTGTTAGTGAACAGACACAAACAATAGTTCCTACCAAAGGCTCCAGTCCTCATTTCTTAATATGGAGTAAAGCAGTTGACCAGCAAGCTCTTGTGCTGTTATGATGCTGGATTGTAATAGGATTACTGTAAGCACTAACTATTTTTATGTGTTACTTTTTCAGAGATTATGTGATTATGTTTGTGATTTGCTGTTGGAAGAATCAAATGTTCAGCCGGTCTCTACTCCAGTTACTGTTTGTGGAGATATTCATGGTCAGGTAGGCCAGCTCATAGTGAATTTATTCTAACTCCTCCATGGATGATAAATAAACCTCACTTGTTACCAAATTCTAGTTTTTTCTTTTAAAAATAATTGATTCTTTATTTTTCCCGTCTAGTTTTATGATCTGTGTGAGCTCTTCAGAACTGGGGGCCAAGTTCCAGACACAAATTACATTTTCATGGTAAGTGAATTGTTTTTTGTTTTGTTTATAAAAGTTGCAGCAGAATTAAAACAATACAGAGGTCATGCCATATTTAACGAGTCACTCCAATTCCATGTTGATTTTATGAAGGCGTGCTCCTCACAATGCAGCAAAACATTTTTTAAAAAGAAGCATGTATTCCCTTTTGAAAAATCCCATGTCAAGGGTATATTTTCCTCATTTACACAAATTGTGGATGTATTGTAAACTGTTTTCTTGCAATAAAAGCATATATGAGTACTACACATAAGACATATTGCAGAATCACCTATATGATGGTTAAAGTATGAACCCTAAAGCATCAGTACTGCACTGTATCCTTAGTTAACCTGCAATTCCCACTCCTACTTTTTGCACAGTGACAGTTTACTTAAATTCATTAATTTGCAATTTTTGCTTAAATGTCTGAAACAATTAATTGATTATCAAAATAATTGCCAATCATTTTTCATCATTTCAGTTCTCCTAATGACTTTCAAAAAACATACGTGTATGTGCAACATTTAAAGTAAATTAAGCACCTAGTAGTAGTAGTAGTAGTAGTAGAAGATCTTCCAGGTGTCCTGCATAACTTCACTGTTTAGGAGCCAACTCATCAGTCTTTGATGTTTAAAGAAGAAAGAAAAATATTCACAATAACAATGCTAACATGCTGATGTTTAACAGGTATAATGTCCACCATCTTATTGTAGTGTTACTAACATTGTCATTAGTTTTGCATTTATGTTTTATCATGTTATCATGATAAAAACATTTCATATCATATATTTCAGGAGGTAGAGCAGGTTGCCCATTAATCAGAAGGTCGGCGGTTCAATCCCTGGCTCCTCCAGGCTGCAAGATACTGAACTGGTGGCTGTTCCGCCAGTGTATGAATGTGTGTGAATGTTAGTTTCTGTTTGAGCACTTAGGCTCAGTGAATGAATGTGTGTGACTGGTGAAGATGTAATGTAAAAGCGCTTTGAGTGGTCGAAAAGACTAGAAAAGCGCTATACAAGTACGGAGCATATCATTCGATATTAGGACTGCACGATTTGGAGAAAAAGTCATATAGCGATTATTGTGGACAATATTGCAGATTGCAATTCGATTATAATGGAACAAATGGTACTATGAGTCTACTTGCTTGATTATCAAGGAAAATGAACAAAATGCTGACATTTTGAAATGTGTTTTTGAACAAAGTTAAGCGATAAATAATATTTATAACAATAGTAATAGTAATATATTACTAATAGTAACAAAAGTATTTATTACAATTAGTAAAACAGAACTAAGGGAGCGTGTTGCTCTACAGAGGAGGCGGCTAGAAGGAGCAAATATTGGCCCACTGGCATCCTGGCACTGGCTAAATCTACTAATCTGTCCACTGCAGAGACACTATCTACAACCTGGAGGAGGAACTAGTATTACTATAATATTATAACATTAAATAAACAGTATCATTTTCACTTAATAGTATACTGTCAGTATAACAATAATAGCCTATATTCATTATAATTTCATATAATAGTATAGCCTACTATTTTACAGCTAGTAGAATCTTAAATCCAGATGCCATATCAGATGGTTAGTTATGTGGTTGAACCTTTATTAAAGGTCAGAATATGACAAACATTTGATGCCAAACAGTGAATCACTTCACAAGTCTGAGGTAGAACATTCAACACGATTATGATAAAATCTGTTTTAACAAATATGACTAGTAAATCTTTACTATGTCCATTTTCCTTAACAAAATAAATATTTGAATAGAAGAATGAAGTGCTAATTTGTTCACAATTCAAATGAATTAAACCAAATATTTATTGACGAAATATTGAACATTTATTATATTGTTATTGAGGATAATTAAATTGCGATAATTATCATTATTGATTTATTGCCCAGCCCTACCATCCAGTAGTTATTGAGATATTTCAGTATGGTCCATTGTGGTTGACTGACCGACAGACTGACATTGCCAGCGAACTAGCATGGCTAAAAACACTCACCAGTGTGCAATTCTTCGGATCAGTATCAATGGGTTTGTTTATTCCAAATAACTGTCCCTCTGGTCTACCTTCTTTCCTTGATATCAAGTAGATGATTCCATAACTGAGCGAAACACAATCTTCCTGCAAACCTCATGCTACCCATCCCATATCCCCCACTTTTGCACACCCTCAAATATCTAATAGTTCTCTAATATCTGTTAGTTTGTTTTGTACTGTTTCACACAAACACAAATGTCAAATGAATGCCTTGTGCCAGACCAACAAATCAAACACAGGACACGCAGTCTTCAAAAAGTTTTCAATATGTTACATGCTGCTTCAACAAGTACGAGCTTATTGGCACGTAGCAAACAGGTTGAAAGAAACTACAGTTATTCTCTACGCAGGTTGTTCTGATATAAAGGTGCACTGTATCCTGGAGACAACAGAGTTATGTTTTGAATAGATATATGGAGGCTCTTTAATGTTTTTTGGTGTCTCTGATGGTGTCTTCTTTTCCCTCCTCCAGGGAGACTTTGTAGACAGAGGATATTATAGCCTGGAGACATTTACACACCTGCTAGCTTTAAAAGCAAAGTGGCCGGATCGTATCACACTACTTCGTGGAAACCATGAAAGCCGACAAATAACACAAGTGTATGGCTTTTATGGTAGGTACATGTACTTCACTCTTACTGATCATGTATGCAAATGTTTTCTGTTTCCCATCAAACCACACTGCCATGTATGTTCTGCTTACTTTTAGATGAGTGCCAAACAAAGTATGGAAATGCAAATGCCTGGAGGTATTGCACAAAAGTGTTTGACATGCTGACTGTGGCAGCTGTAAGTTCATTCATGGTTCTTTCACATTTGTTTCAGGATTAAATTTGTCTGCTGTGCTCTTTGGTCATATGTAGGATGTGTAAGCAAAGCAACGATTCAGTTGTAAACACACCATTCCTCTATGTCAAACTCGGGCATTGCACTAATGGAAGATGTAAGCCGATAGTAGTGATTTGGTCCTTTAACTTCCTTAACTCTGTCCTGAAGAAAAAATCTGCATTTCTTAAATGAGGAAATAGTGACAGTGCCTTTGCTATTGATGTGCTTTCTTGGAGATCTATTTTAGAGTCAAGCTGCTGTAGAGTTTGTATTAGATTGGAACCCATTTCTGATAGTTAGCCACCTAATATTAGAGCTGTAGTCCCATAATCATTCAGTGGTAGGTCATTCCAGCAGTTATTTACAGGGGCAGTTTGTACTGTGCTGCAGGAACTGATCTCCAGGCTTCCTTCCTACTGAAAGTACAGTATTCAGTTTTTATTATCTATTGTTAGGATGGTCACTTCTTCAACAAATCAAGTTAGAATAAATTTTAACTAACCTGTTTTTAAATGAGTGTCTTACCCGTACGTATGATCTATATATTTTCCTGTGTAAACTGCACTGTGTATATTGAGTGTGTGTGGTGCAAAAAATTTATGGTGACTCCAGTTCTGTCATTATCCTAAAAACCTCACGATGCAATGCCAAAGGGCCACATCTATGCAAATTAACTTTGCTATCGTAGTTTTGACCTTTTTACGGGCATCTGGTGAGGGCCTGGTGAAAAGAGGTTGTCTATTTGACGTTGCTCCACTCATTTCTGGTGCCTCTGCTAGCTGCCACTCAGGTGTCAAGCTAGTAGTTGGTTTTGTTGGCACTGTAGAATAAGGCCGCTGCTTTCTTTGCTGTAATTTTGCCATCTATAGTGTAGAACCCAAAATATGTCCACACACTGCTTCTCAACCGCTTTATTGTTCTGATTATCCAATCAGAAAGGCTTGACTCACTAGTGTCCTCCATTAATAATTAGCTTAATTTACTGATGGGTCAATAGGCATGCAATAGGTTTAGCTAATATTGAATTTTGAGGGTTTCCTCTGCTGAGTCACAAGGCAAACAGACTGTTGCACTTTTTTCCCAACATACAAACAAAAGTTGGAATTTCAAATAAAGCGACAGACTGTACTATTTTTTTGTACTAGAATACATTATTTACAGAATAGCTGAGAACAACTTAGAGGCTGCTAGATGATGAAATGAATAAACAGGAGTAATGTGGGAAGTTTAGATGAATAGTGGGAAGATAACTTAAGAGGGCAGTATGCTTCTGAAACCATCCTCCACCCACACCTTTCCACCACCTTTGTATCTCTACAAAATCTGTATATGCAAAAAGTGCAACAGCATGAATGCCTTTTGTTTGAGATTATTTTGTTTTTTGTGAAATTAATTATTCTCAGTTTACTTCATTGTTAGACAGCAGAAGTGTCAGGTCAAATATTGTCAACAATATTACTTCTTTAACCCTCAGTCTGAAGCGGTTATATATTAGCATGCTAATGTTAGTTTTGTCATTAACTAACAGAATGAAACAGTTAGACCTGAAAGTAGTAGGTATAAATATTTAGGAACAACCAACCTCTAAGGAATAACTAGGGTGTGTAGCAAGTTGTTTGACTTTAGTGATGCATGAATCTTCACTTAGTAAACACTTACCAGCAGACAGACAGAGCTAGTGAGTGACTGGGCAAACACTTGTTAGTCATAGCAACTGTTTAGGTGACATACTGTATGTCATTGTTGGAGTTCTTCTGACCCCTAGTGACGAAAAGATTCAAATGCTGTTTTAAGTAATAAGTATAGTCGTGTACAGTACAAGTTTAGAAATTTACAGAGGTGACACACACACACAAACACAAACAGAGCAGCATCAAAATGGAACCATTTTGAACAGACTTCAGGAACACAATTTAGTGGATATATTGTTGACAAAGTAGCTTCTTAATACATTGACAGGTTTTTACACACATACAATATCTAACCTTATCAAGATTTTGACTCAGAACTTCTAATGACATGTTTTAACCTCTTATTCCAGTTGATAGATGAGCAGGTCCTGTGTGTCCATGGTGGTCTTTCACCTGACATCAAGACTTTGGACCAGATCCGCACCATCGAACGGAACCAGGAGATTCCCCACAAGGGGGCCTTCTGTGATCTTGTGTGGTCAGATCCTGAGGACGTGGACACCTGGGCTATCAGTCCACGAGGTGCTGGCTGGCTGTTTGGCTCGAAGGTTACTAATGAGGTACGTTGTGTGGTCAACATTTGAAACTAATCAGTGGGGTGTGGGAACCTTTGACTCTTAACATCAGTTGTATGAAAGTAATGCTCATATTTTGTTTTAGTTTGTTCACATCAACAACCTGAAGCTCATATGCCGTGCACATCAGCTGGTTCATGAAGGCTACAAGTTCATGTTCGACGAGAAGCTGGTGACTGTGTGGTCGGCGCCCAACTACTGCTACCGCTGCGGCAACATCGCGTCCATCATGGTCTTCAAGGACGTGAACAGACGAGAGCCCAAGCTGTTCCGAGCCGTCCCTGACTCTGAGCGCGTCATACCTCCCCGAACGACCACTCCCTACTTCCTTTAATGATAAGAGCCAGTTCTCTATCCTCTCCAGCCTCTGGAGATCTCAACTCTCAAACTTATTTATATTCAACATATTTTAAGAAATTCTTGGGAGCAACATCACAGGTATCCAGCATCTTGAGTTAGAAACGGGTTTCTTCCCAGGCTACTGTCTGTTTGCACCACACTCACTTTTTGTTCTGTCAAAAAAAATCCTCTCCTACCCCCAATGAGAAAATGATACTTTTAAAGATAAGATAATATTAAATAGTTTAATTTTGATGGTGTCCCACTGAGGCAAATAAACAACTGAGTTGTAATTGCCAATAATACATGTTCAAATAAAGTGATATATATATATTTTTCTGTGAGCATTTTAGCAGTTTGATCTCATGGTTGCCCTTTAAAAGACTAGTGATTTCTGGAATTAGGAAACAAACTCTTGTAATAAGTGCTCCTGTTGAAACACCTCAGACTTACTGAGTAAAAAACTGCATCTGAGCCCATCCTACAGCATTCTGCTTTAAATGCGGGTTTTATTTTTAAATGTCATCTATCATATACTTTCCTTTTAATTTGTTTTTAATCTATCTGTTAATACAGACACCATGTATCTTTGACAAACATCCACAAGTGTAAATTAGCCTTTTACTCATCACTGTGACCATCTGACCAATCTGACAGTATGATGAACTGTTGCTGCAACATTTTATAAGCAATATAAAATAATATCCTTACAGTATGAAAATAGATTTGTTAATAGCTCAGCTCTGTAGTTTTATTTGTTGCAGAGAAAGGTTCTTTGACACTGTTCCCCTGTTTTGAATAAAACATTCATTAAATTGTGTGAGTAGTAGTCACTTGAAACACTAAAGGTTTTTTATAATGTAGTCCAAGCCATTGTTACATGCGGGCAGAAACAATACGATCAGGATGCATAATAGGAATGGTGGTCCTGCCTTTCCAGACTGCACTGTTCATGACTTTAACGGGACCAAATTAAAATAAGGTGTTGTGGAAGAATACTTTGTTGTATCTACTTTATGCTTACCAATATTTTAAGCATATATCAAGCATTTAGTCCACCACCCCACCTGACTGCCCGACTCTGTATACTGGTGGTGAAAAGTGACTGAGGTACTTGTAACTGTTAAGCTTTGTTCATTTTCTGCTACTTCATATTTCTGCTCCAATGTTTTTCAAAAAAAATCAGGGTGCACTTGGGACCCTTTGTCACATTTCAGTAGAATGCAGATCATGGTATTCTTGATTTTATTTTATTTTTTTTTTATAACCTTTTCAGTTACACTAAGAGCAATGCACTAACACTAAAAGAATAACTTGAATTCAAATTTTAAAAAGCCTAGTTTTAACCAATCCAAAAGATGTTGTGTACTTAATGTAACAGCACTACATTGAGGTATACGGTTAAGAATATTCCGGATCCACTCCTGCATGGAGGCTTTCCCTGCAGCCACTGAGCTGTTGTGGATGGCTCTTCTCCTCTCTCCTGGTATGCCGAGTGCAGTGCAGGCTCTGCAGAGGGGCTGTCCTGCAAAGCACCTGCACTCTGCCTCCACAGGAAAGCACCTGACCCTCCATCCTTGTCTGTAGCAGTTGCTGATTAGCCACTGTACTTTCCATTCGACAGCCTTCTCCATGTGTTCCTCCCATGGCACTGTTACCTCCAGGATAGCGATATTCATTTCCTCTGATACGAGAACCATGTCCGGTCTCAGGGAGGTCATGACAACCTGCTGTGGGAACTTGATTTGTTTTCCCAAGTCCACCAACAGTTGCCAATGCTATGCCGTGCTGAGAAGCCCGGATGCCGCTGCAGGGGTTGGGCCTGGCTTCTCACCTGCTCTCGCAAAGCAGATGGTCTGCTTTGGAAGTTTGGACTGCCAGGAGCTGGTGATGGCATTCCAGATGGCTTCTGCAATGGTCTAGCACCTGGTTATGCTTCAAATGCTATTGGCCCTTCCCTAGACTCAACCAGGCCCCAGCAGTGCAGGTTGGATGGGTTGCGGAATGCATCACTTGGACCAAGAATATGATGCAGCTCTGCCAGCCCAGAGGTCATTCCACGAAATCTTCCTCTGCAACTTGCTCCCATCTTGCCCAGGTGCAACACTCTGCTGCTCTACTGGACCTGTCCTCCTCTATGGCTGCTCGAACCTCTTTCTGGACCAGCTGCTGCCACTCTTCGTACCTGGTCATAACGAGGGGTTGGAAAGGCACCCAGCCCAGCTCTTCAATGAGTCACTGCTCCTGCCAGGACTCTGTGGCGTAGCTTGGACTGCCTGCTCCACAGCTTCCTCTGCTCCACTTCCTGCCAGTCACTGCAACCCCTGCTCCCGCTGTCCTAAACTCCTTACCGGCTCCCCTGTGATGGTCGGAATTGGTGAGTTTGTCATGGAGAACCAGAAGGTTCTAGGATCCATCTGGCTCTTGGTACTGATTCTGTGGTGACTGTTAAATAATCCATGAAGGCACAGATTAGTGATTGGCAAATCCCATTTCTGGACTGGGACTGGGCTTCTACACACTGTTTCAGCAGATATAACTAGCATGTCCATAGCCAGTGCAAACAGGATAACAGATATGATGCAGCCTTTGATGATTCCCGCCACCAGTATTGGCCATTCTGATGTTGTTGTCCTTGCTGGAGCTCTTATCCTAAAGTTGTAGTAATCCAGGATGAGATCTCTCACTTTGGCTGGGACAAAGTGCCTCTACAGCATCTCCGTCAAGCCAAAGGCATTGGCTAAGTCTAACCACAGCACCACCAGGTTGTTTGCTCCATTTTCCTCCTCCACAGCAAACCTCTCCAGCAACATGTTGACTAGACTGGCTCGCAGTTTGGAGCCTCCTGTCCACATCCCCTTTAGCTGTAGATTCCAGCACCACATCCACATCCTTACTGAATTCTGCTGTCTTGAAGCGCTACCCTATCTTCCTCTTATCTGACTTCATGCTGGGAGTGGTTGCTAGCACCACTTGGTGTGCTCATCTCCCCTCTGAAGGTGTGGTTAGGGTGGCAACTCACTCCACCCCAGGTTTGCTGTCTTTTGGATCTGCCACCTGTTTCTTCAGTAGTCACCAACCTTTCATTGTTGTCAACTGATGTCTCACATCTATCCCTGTGTTGCTATAGGTCTTGTTTGTGCATGTAACTGTGTATTTCTGACCTGTGTGTAAATACTAACAATAATAACAGAATGAAAACACTGAATTTCCCCTTGCGGGATTAATAAAGTATATCTTTGTCTAGTATCTTCTTCTTCTTCTAACTTGTAGCTCCAGGTCAATAGTGAATAAGTTGTATCTTTTGATGCTCAGCCTAGACAGCATCAGTGACATCTTCCATCATCAGTGACACTTCCGAGGTAAATGGAACGCAGCATATGGGGTCATTGGGTGTGTCAGGTCATGCAACATCAGACAGACACACCTCGGGACCAGATACCAATCGGGTAATTCAAATGAATGCATTTAAAAAAATCATATGAACCAATAACACTTTGGACTGGTATTAAGAGTCTCATGCACATCACAATGATAATTATGAAATGAACGTTTGAAGAAAAACCTACATGAACAATATCAGCATAATCTACTAATCCAACAACTTGGTGACAGATCTTTTTCTGACATTAGAAGTTTCAGCTTTAACGTTCAGCTTTATTGTCAGTATACAATACAGGAATACATATGCAGTTGTAATCCCCTCCATGCTACTCACACAGAAAATCTATAAACATATTCAAAAACTTTAATTTAAAAAAGATTATAAACAACAAAATAGAACAAATATATAAAATCACCACTATAAGAAGAAATAAAAAAGAAAACTAAAATATATATCATATCTGTGTGTGCATATTTAAGTAAAATCAGATGAACTGCAAAGAAAAAACAGAAACTCTCAACACTGCAAAGTTGATGGTAGGTTAACTATGCTGACACAGAGCACTTTGCCCCCCCAAAAGTGCATTCCTTAACTGTCCTAGCTAAATACCATTCATACCATAAACAGAAAATAACAGTAATAATATTATTATATATATAATAATATTATATTAATTTAAATAACATAGAGCCTTACAAAGTTAAATCTATAGGGTAAAGCATTTAGAAATTAAAGGACTATATAATCCCTGCATCATCGGATTCATTTGAAGAACTGGAGAAAGCGTTCCGCCTAAGAATTATCAATGAATTTATGAATTGCTCACGTAAAGCAGTCCCATTTTATTTTGATTAAGTTTTGTAAATATTCACGCTTGATTACTGCCAACTTGACTGTTAGAATTAAAAGCAAATCAAAATTCTTCGTCAATTCACAGTTAACACACTGACTGATCCCTGTTAGGCGTTCAGGTGTCCTGCCAGCGGAGAGAAGCTTTTATTTTGGAAATGCTGACCCGGAAGTAGCTAGCCGGCTAGAGTGGGCATGAAAGTGGGGCGGAGGCTGTCCTCTCCCTGCCTCTTCCTGCCTTCTTGCCTCTCACAGGACAACAACCTTTTATATAGAGTAGCGTTTAGGTTTTAGCAGACAGGCTCGTTAGACAGCGTCCAGTGTCAGTGACACAGTGAGATGCCAAGAAGGTCGCGTTTCACCCACAGAGCGTGTCGTGGCTTTTGCGCTGGTTTTTGAGGAGCATCACTGTGGTACTTGTGTCCATCAACGTTAACGTTAGCCGCTTCGGGAGGTAAGAAGAAATGTAACGTTAGAGGTGCAGAGGTGGTTAAAGCTGCTGCAGACAGGCTATGTGAGTCTGTGACCTGTTTTTATTAAATGACACGTTTTGGCTAACTTACCACTGGTTATCGTCTTTATCCAGACATTAATATCCAGATGTTTATTTTATTGTGACGTTAACGGTGTGGTTCCCTACTCAAATTTAACGATGTTGGCGATGATTGAAGGCTGCTAACGTTAGATAACGTTACAGAGAAATAGCTAACTTATACCTTATGGCCAATTAAGATTAGTCTCATTAATAGCTAACCTTAGTTACGTAACGTTAGATTAATGTTACCGAGTTAATTACTATCAACATATAGCTGAGTTGGCTAATTAACGATATTAAATATTGCTTATAAGGAACAAAGCACCAGCTTCCCATGACCGAGTAGTCGTGATTTTTTAAATGCATATCTGTAGTGACATGATTGTCTTCAAACCTCTTTCAGTCAGAGGTCTTTGGTGTATTTATTTTGTCTTGTGGCGGAGGGCTCATTAGAGGCTTTTCCTCCAATCATTGCGTCCGCAAACGTCCTGTAAATGTCTTGTTAAAGAGACCTTTCTGTAAACTGAATGAGGGCTGTCAGATGTCTAACTTATAGACAAATATTCATTACTGCATATTTTATCAGTTTAGAGCAAAAGACACATAGGTGTTTAGGAATGATAACAAGATAAGATGAAGATTTTAGATTTATTGCATTGTTAGCGATGGGACACATAATGTACAGAAGGTTATCCTACAGACTTTCTCTGGCGACACTGTCAGCTTTTGTCCATCATACATAGTCACACACAGACCCCATCTTAGACACCCTGGTAGCTATGAAGCTATACTCATCATTTCCTTGACAGAATAAACTTTACGTTGGCTGAAAATGATTTTGATAAGGCACAGCATTAGCTGAACATTGTGACCAGGCTGCGTGCTGCCTTGACCTGATTGCACATCCATCTTAGCAAACTGGAGGTTGTAACCACTGTGAAAATGAAATCTGGGACAGCCCAGGTCAACCTAAAAAAGGTGACCATGTGACACATTTCCTCTATAGTTTCTTATTTCTATTCATACTTAAGTAGGGCACCTGTAAGACACGCAGAAATTTACAACCAGCAACGTCTTTTATGGATATCAGTATGTTAGAAGTCAGCAGGTTCTGGTTACTAGTTGTAATGAATCTCTTGTAAGTGTGTCACAAGTTGACATTTGTACAAATGGTACCTTGGTCTGGTAGCCACTGGTTCCAATATTTTTAATAATTTTAACCAGTATATATTTTAAAGCAGTATCTATACACAGTATTTCTTTTTGTTTATAATCAGGTGAGAAAAGTCAGTGTCATGACTGGAGCTGAGACTGAGGATGATATTCCATTAGGCGAAAGGAAGACTGTCACAGATTTCTGCTATCTTCTGGACAAGTCCAAACAACTCTTCAATGGGCTAAGGTCAGTTTAAACTTACTCTCTGGTCTCCTGCTGGGCTGCATTTTGTAATCAAACATTCCCTTCCAGTGGCTGCTTTTGGCAAGAGCCACTGGTAAGGGATGGATGACCAGGGGAATATATGGAGAGGAATTAAGTTGAATGAACATGTATTAAGTGTTTGCTGACGCTATTGTGCTAACCTGAATCATTTGTTTTATTTATGTTGAATTCAAGGCTCGTCTTTATTTATTGCTCCCCCAATATTAATGATTGGTAAGAATTCAATCTGTGGGGTTGGGGGCTTAACATAAAAATGTTTGGGTGTGTAGAACATCCTACTTTAATGTGGGTTACTAGAGTTCACCCGCTCAGGTCACAACCTAACAGTTATATTCACCTGTTGAGCAGATTGTGTATCAGCCATGATGCCACAGACCCAGTTTATTTGTCAGTGTAAAATTCATTTAACTTTAGTTACATTCATTCTGTGAGGGTGGGATGCTGAATTCCTGCGATTACCTCTGATGAAAATAATTAATTTCTTCTGTGAGGTGTACAGATTTAAAAATCTTTGGGGGGAAAAGAACAATGATATTGGATTGGTACTCAGTGTCTGCAGATCCCAAGTTGAGACATTAGAATCAAGGGTGTAATTTCTAGTTAGGATGGGGATTCCACTTTCCATTTCTAATCTTTTATTTACTTTCTTTGACTGCTATTAATTTGGGAAGCCTGATAACCAATTTCATAATATTGTGTTATTTACTAGATCCATATCAATATAGCATTCACATGTTTTCAAGTTTATTGTTGTTGAAGAACCTCTGACTTCACACGCCTCCACCCACTACATATTGTAAAAGGAAGATATTGTGAGGTGTTTTCAGAAAGAGTGACTGTTGTTTGAAAGAGTCTGCATTTTGAGCTCACACTCCTCTTGTCTGCTGAGGAGCAGAAACCAATTATTAAATGTAATTTAGTTCCATCACCGGTTAAAGGAAAATTATGCAACTTTTGGATCTTAAAATAACAGCATTAAAATCATTTTGATGCTACACTGACTTGTAAAAGGGAGAATGGTGCCTCTTTCACTCCCACTCAGCGCCCTGAACACGTGTTTCTGCATTGTTTAACTTGTGTTGATCGGGTACGATCTCCTGCTGGAAGTGGATCTAGAGGTCTCATGTGTCACATTCTAAGCGAAGACGGAGTGTCTATAAATGTACGAGACTCCAAGCCTTGAGCCTGAACAACAGTGTCTCCCTATCAGCCAGCTGTTGTCACCGTGACAGGTAGAGGGACAGAGGCAAAGAGCTCTGTCTAAGGATCGGTGTACTTCTGGGGACAGTTAGTGATGTGTATATGACCTGTACCTCACCTGTTACCTGAATTAAGCCTACTTAGAAAATTCCCCCACTGTTGTGACTTTCCCCCATAAAATGTAATACGTTATAAATAACAGAATTGGATCCCCCTTGTTTATTTGCTTTAGTGGCTCTAGAGTTTTTTCCTCAGACACAAATGTTAACGTACATGTTAATATATCTGTGCTCGTACTATTTGTGGATATTTTGACTACTTTCCTGATCTGGAAATTGAAACCTTTTTTCTTCTCATTATGGAATTGAAGCAATTATCAGCTGAGCATCGCTGACCTATTTACACCATTTGTGACTGGTTGTAGATTGATTGATGCTCCACTGTCACAGTTATACACTGTAGCATGTATCGCAAAGGCGACACCAACGAGAATGAGAATTAATAAGCCTCAAAGGGGAACCAAATGATGTAGCATTACCACATTCATTGGTAAAGTGATTGCACTCAACTTCAATATTAATACTAAATACGAGAATTTAACTTGCTTTAAATTACCCTCAGGGCACCACCCTTAAAAAAGGGAACATGATTATTTATTTATTTAATTCAGTCTCAAATCTGGAGGTTGCTACTAAGTTCTTGACTTGTGTACATTGACCACACACGCAAACCACATGAGTGAATAAATTTAATGAATCTAGTGATGAACAACTAATAAATGCATTAGTGCATTAATGAAGCCACAAATACACAATACTCATTAACTGAATGAAGACCACCGTATACCAGACACAATGGTAAGATCTATTCATTTGTGGAAACACGAGTGAAAACACTTTGACCTTAACCAGTGAAATTCACTGAAGGCACCATTCAGCAGCTCATTTCCACAGTGATGGGATATCCTGCTTATGACCTAACATTTCTTAATTACTCTTAGTAATCTATAGCATCTTGGGAAAAGTAAAGTTTCACCTGCTGGTTCTGTTGCTGTGGAGGGGAGGAGGGAGACAGTGCGCTCGGTCCCACATGGCGACATGGCTTTAGTTGGCGGTCTCTCAGCAGGCAGCGGGGTGATAACATCTTAGCATAAGCGTAACTTGGCCGCGCACAAGGGCTGCCAGAGATCAGTTTTTTGGGTCAGACTTTCAGTGATTTTATAAAAGTGACAACGAATGAAAGAAAAATTTTAATGAGTGATGACCGCGATGATGAAATACTGTTCAATTTAGAGAAGGGGACACTTTTTCAACCCAGAGTATAAAGAACAAGATCTTTTGCAGAAGGACACTGAACGGGTCACAAAAGATAGGGAAAACTTGTACAATAAATAGGCAGTAGATATGTGGGTATGTGTTGGAAATGTGTGCTGCAGTGGTATATTCAAAATGAAACAAAACAATCCTAAGCATTTCTTTACTGGTTGTGTGGAAAGTCCTTTGATTTATTTGTAGGTATTTGGACCTTTCTGACCCAAACAGCTGATTTTCGGCAGTGTTATACAGTCCACAACCAAGTTGCGCTCATGCGTAGGAATACAAAGTAAAATGGTATGTTTAATCCAGGAAATGGTCTCAATTAAATTTTGTTTATGTAATTTTAAAATGAAAACGTCTTTATAATATAAGTGTTTGCTTGCTGGAGATGTATTGCATATTTAATTAGAATTATTGAAATTCCAGTTAATCTACCATATATTTACATATTATTGTGAATACCAGAATTTCTATTCATCAGTGTTATGATCAGCCACCTTACCTGCTGAGAGAGCAGCAGTTTGTGAGGCTCAGATTATAGAGTAAAGGAGAGACACTTTTTCTCTGGTAAATCTGTGTGGCTGTGTTCTTTTGTAGCTTTAGGAAAGCTAAAATTTTATTATCATTGTTTTGTTCATTTAAAGGACTGCGATTGCTGAGAAGGCACTGCTTTGCTGCTGACACTGATTCCAGAACAAATGTAGGATGCATCTAAAAAATGCCCTCCTCTGGAGCACACGGGCTCGTTTCCAACTTGAAACTGTACCAGTGTTCGAATGCACCATGGTTTTAGAAAGGGTTACCTGGATGCTCCTACAAATTCAAAATCTTTAAATTCATGCCAAGTTAAAGGCCTCAGATTGACTCTTAAATAATGCTTTCAGTTATTCAGCATTTTGGATGTTTTTGTTGTGATATTGTCACAGTGCATATCACAATAAGCTCAGAAACACTGTGGAGTCCAAACAGACAGATTGGCCATCTGGAGTAGCAGGAGCCAGTGAACCTGTCATCTGGTTGTGAGCCAAGCAGGACAATACGGATGAGAGAAAGAAAAGGACCAGGCTCTGAGCTGGAGTGATAAATTGATTAGATAGATTAGATGAACTGCTCCCTGTTTTTTACCCTGTGTCTTTGATTTACTAAAGATTGTGAGAGATTTGTGAACAATATTTGAGAGAAATAGGCCTTTTGTGTACATAGAGAAAGTCTTAGATCTTTGAGTCAAGCTCATGATGAATGGGGGCAAAACTGTTGTCTATAATTTTGTTCAGTGTAGTTTGTTCTGTTTGTGGTCTGAGTTGAGCGTGACACACTGTTTGTGGTGTATTAGTCAGAAATGATGTGTTCTCGTCATATTTGAATCACTGACAGAATGACTTGATCATCAGCTCAAAGCACCCATTTCAAAGAGCTTACATATTCAGACCCTTGTGAAATGACAGAAATACATTTGGTGACCTTTTTTTGTAATTTTGATTGTTCAAGTTGTTAAGGTAAGTACACTGATCAGTGGGCTAACATTTGATCCCAGGTTTTACAGCCTTTAATGTAAAATCTTTCCTGTGGGGAAATGTCAGCAGAAATATGAGAACCATCTCTTCAACAATAGATTATTCAGTTGGAAAAGACTACCATATGGCCAATTGAGGTCCCTTTTTCACTCAGCCACCATGAGTACAGTCACAGCACTCAGCGAAACATTAACTTATCATCATTCGGTGTTGCTGACATCTTCCTCAGAGTCCTGTCAAGATCCTCGTTACGTGTTTTGGCCTGCCTGCGCCCTCCAGTACCAGGTTGTGCATGTCCCACTGGCTACCCAACCCCCGCAGAGAAGGCGGCCTTGGAGGAGGAAATAGCCTCCTCTGAAAAAGAGCCAGATCAGTGGTACCCGACTTGGAGCTGTGGACAGGCTTCTTCTTTCAATATTTCCTGGTGCCCATGAAATCAGCTGGCATGACAGACATACTGGATACGTGCATCCTGAAAGGCTACCTTGCACAGAGGCCCTTTCACATGCTGACCGTCGGACAGTTTCTGGAGTGCATAGTAATGCAGTGCTAATTTGGTGATAACTTTTGTGTTGTGGAGTTCTTCTGCTACTGACATTCTGAATTGGAAAATTGAATGGAACTGGGAATTGGTTCTTGAGTTCTACAAAGGGCAAAATGGACATTAATCTACTGCAATGTGTATGTAGAATAATCTACAGGTCATAAAGCCAAGTGATTGTGAGTCCAAAGATCTACTTGTGTTTAAAACAAGTATGCATCAAATGTGTATCTTTACATTGTAATTGAATGCATTTACTTGTATGTACAAATTCACACAGATGTGTGCTTCACTTGAAAGAACTAAAAGTTCAGGTCTCCAAAATACACACCTATTCACTGAGATCATTTGTAAAGAGTCAGAATAAATGTCTGAAAACCCTCCAGACCCCAAGAAACTAAAGCGCCGTGACTGCTAAAAACTGTATGTCCCCAAATGTTTGACTTTTCTTTTAATTGCAGACGGAGTGTTTTGTAGAGCTGAGAGCATTTAAGATGTATGTGACTGTTTCTCTTTTCTCACCTCCTCTGACCTTTATTTTGCTCTTTACTGCAGAGACCTTCCTCAGTATGGACACAAGCAGTGGCAGTCCTACTTTGGACGGACATTTGATGTCTACACTAAGCTGTGGAAATTCCAGCAGCAGCACAGGTTATTTCTATCTCTTATTGGTGCGACAAATGGAGGGTGGGGTTATGATTCAGCAGTCGCATTTTTAGTTGAATTAATTCAGCAGCAAGAATGAGGAAAAGTATTTACTGTAAAACTTGTTAGCACTGGTTTGGCATATTCCCATTTAATGTGATGCAAATGAATTTAAATGGGGCCAAATTGTGACACAGTATATGTTTCTTAGTTATTAACACAAATACTGATGCACATGTGATAAGTGATAATTGTCATAGACATTTGCCAGATGTTCTGTCACACACAAATTATTCCATTGTCTCGTGCTCAGTATTATATGTTTTCCTTTATTGACAGGCAGGTTCTGGACAGTCGGTATGGCTTGAAGAGATGGCAGATTGGGGAAGTTGCATCCAAAATTGGACAGCTTTATTACCACTACTAGTAAGTCAAACTGTGTCTCGACCAATCAGTCACTGTCTCACTGTTGTCTGTTTTTAAACAGTTATTGATAGAATAGAAAAAAGCCAATATTCTTTAATCATCCATTAATGTAAGTTAAATAAAATTTAATTTTGTTAAATTTCAACATTTGTGTTCAGGGCTTCTAAGTTACGCTAAGGGGCCAGAGTTAATGTGCCACTAACTGAAAAGATTTGCTTTCTTATTTCCTTTTGTTGGATAGTTGTCACTCTAGGAAGATAAGAAATATGGGACACATGTTCTTAGCTAGATTCTAGCGTTAGTCTCTCCAGTTGGCACAGCGCTAAAACAAAGTGTGGAGATGTCTGGCTATATGTTACTAGCTACGAGCCAGGCTAAATTAGTCTAAGAAACCAGTGTGGTCCTAACTACAGTTCAGGGTCAAACATCTGGAAAAGTAACATAGGCAAAGCTGGCATATTACAACTAGTGACTATAAAATAGTATTTTTGCTGGTACAGAAAAAAACACTGGCATACAATGCAGAATTTGAAATGTGGGAGGAAACTATGTTTGTCAGATAGCAGGATATGTTAAGCAGTCGTACGAACAGATTTGTTCTGCATTCACCAATTTTCTCATACTTAAAATTTTGTATTGGATACAAATTTAATTTACGGTGGTCCAGACCTGTCACATGTGTCATCTTCAGTCTACTTTTCTCCACAGGGCAAAACACTCGTGGCTTGCCTCTGAGAGGTGATTTTAGTTTTTATGATTTCACAATTGGCACAGAAACTTGCACAGTTCAGTAATTTTTAGGAAAATTTGCTCACTTCAGCAGCGACCTCAGGGTCTTTACGCAATTTTCCAGTATGATCCTCTGTTGCACCCGACAGAGTACATCACCTGGTCTAATATCTCTGTGATTTGCCCCTTGATCACCTCTCATATTAGTCATGGACTGTTTTGCTTTAGAAAGATGTTTTTAGCATCTAACTTTATGTAAAATCCTTTCTTCTTTAATTCTGTCACACTACAGCGTTGCTCTTGTGACACGTCGTTGGCAGCTGAATTATGTCATCTTGACACATGAAATTCTTCTTTTTACTCTTTGCTAACATTTTTGTGAATGAAACTTGCCCACAAACAGAGCAGGACAAGTTGCAAGGGTGTTGATTATGCTAATTAACCCTTGGATTTTTGTGTATGAGGACTATAAACAAACTATAAATAAACTATATTGATTTTTCTAACTTTCATCTTAAGGCAAAAATAACAGACTAGATAATGTGTATTATTACACATTTCTACAGTCTTCCTCAAATGTTAATTTATGCTACATTTGATACATTTCAGTTTGTAGTTTGGTATAACTGAATGAAATGTTTTCCAGTGTATTGAAATGCTATGAATGGATTGAAATGTGCTTCTGATACTGTATATACCAATACACCTTCTACTTTCTAATCCTGATTGACAGCCTTCGTACCTCAGAAACAAGTTACCTGAATGAGGCTTTTTCATTCTACTCAGCCATCCGTCAGCGCTCCTATTACTTTCAGGTCAACAAAGAGGACAGGTACGTTGTAATTTCAGAAAGTAAATGCCTTTGCTTGGTATATAATAAAGGTTTTTTTTGGAGTTTTTAAACAAAAAGATTTATTTAGTTTTCATTTGTGTTAAAAACTGAGTCAAATGCACTCATTCTGTATAATGAATATGTGTAGCAAATTTAAAGTGGAGGATACGACTGGCGATATTCTATATTTTTGTTATTTTCAACAAATCCCTTGAAAAGACTTCTCTGTTCTGTAGGCTTTGAACTGCAAGATCATTGGTTCCTACTGAAAATCTTCATCCTCAAAACATTTTGTGATTATATGGTATTTTTTGTGAATTCCTTAAACATCTTGCCCCTGTGGTTTTAATCAAACACCACTCAAATGGGAATAAACAGTGCATTTGTTTGGGACTATTTTCTGCAGCGGATGAATCCACATATGGTACTGTAGTGAGTATTTGGGGCAGCGGGATGTATGTCAGTCGAAAGAAACTGTGTTCATGGTGATGAAGGAACAGGCTGTGATACACGCACAGGACTTGTTAGTGGAATCAAATCATTGTTGTCAAGGGATTTGTTGATAAAAAGAAAATAGAAAATCATTAGACATACAGAAATTAGAATTGTAATCCTTAGATTACTGACTTTAGAAGTTCATATTGTGTTCTCTTGTCTTTTTATCAGGCCAGAATTAGTAGTGAAGAAGCTTCGATATTATGCTCGCTACATTGTCGTCTGTCTACTGCTGAACAAGCTGGATCTAGTCAAAGTTTTGGTGAAGGTATGGAAGATCCCCCCCCACCTGTGTACCTCATGTAGCATTAATTTCAGTGTCTCATTATGTGAAATTTAGACAGCAGTACACCAGTCTTGCTTATCTGACAGACTGCCACAACCTCTCACATAAAAGTAAGATAATGGGATTTCTTTAAGAAGTCCTGTAGGCAGGACGAAATGCTTAAATTAGACTGTAGAAAAGATTAGACCTAACATGCACCTTAGCTCACCATTCCTCAAAAACTCTTCGCTTACAGTCACATATGGACCTGGTGGATGATGCACTTTGTCTGTGCGAGCACCAGTCACGGGCCCCGCCCATAGGGCAGGCACCTTTTTAGTATGATTTTAGAGAGCAGATCCTTAAGTGGCTGATTGGAGTCACGAACAGAGCTGCATGCTTTCACTGAGTCGAGCTTTATATCTTCAGCTTGGCTTCAGAAGTTTTTACAAACACCGCATCTGAGAAACAACCAGCAGCAATGAACTGCCCGCCCCTCCTTTGCCAACAGTGTATAGTATAAAACACATGTGAACACGTCCCGGCTACACACCCAACTTTGGGCTCATTATGTTTGATGGCGCTCATATCACCAGTGGTGTTCCAGCCTCTCATCCTGCTGTTAGACGCTGTTGCAGCTGCCTCTGAAGCCTGGGGCACGCTGCCTTGGGCGTCAGTCATCTTTGAGAAGATGAGTCGAAGCTAGAGGGGCTGGGGTCTTGGTGAGACTCTTGCTGTGGAGAGCGAGCCCAATGCTGGTTAAGGTTGGTGGGAGGGGCTTAGCAGAGTGATATGAGCAGCACAGAGAGACATGGGAGGTTTTGCATTGTATGTTCAATTGCTACCCACTGCTGCTTTTAATTGACCATTAGAGCCATCAGTCCGGTTTAAGCACTGGTCTATTCATTGACGCATAGAACAACTGCTTGTGCGGTGAATAACACCTGTACGACCAAAGCTGCTGCTTTTACAGAGCAGGAACAACGGACCACTGCCACCACTTTGTCCAGTGTAGCTGTAACTTCCTAGGAAGCCACAATACTCTCAAAAGATAGATCTAAATTACAGGAGGCTCCTCCAGCTCTGGTGACTCAAATCAGTATATTATCTATGCATCATAGGTTAACCTTACTAGCATAGTTCAGCTAACGGATAACAGCAGCCGTTCCAGCAGCAAAACGTTCTGGGTGGAACTCACACCCAAAAATGATTAGTATTAGGCTTATTTGATTCACAGGGACTATCGAACTGAAGAGAGTCGTATAAAAAACATCCTACACTTGTTCTGGACAAAATCATGAACTGCTGCACCACTAATACACATTCAAATGAATCCACTGCTGGTGGTGTGTCTCGTTGTTCCTGAAAGGAAAACAGCTGCCACTGAGGACATCTTTGCCAAATCTGATGTGATTTCCATTCAGCAGTGCAGGGGATTAGCTCAGACAGCAAATCTACTCCAAATTGTATCAGTTTGCCTGTCTCCAGGTGTAACTGACCACTGTAAACAGTACATGACGACTCTAGAGATGGGGGAAAATGTTTTCGCATTAGCATTAAAAAAGCAGCCAATAGTTTTAGTGACATAATAACATTTTTGACGCGGCTGCTTCAATCCCCATTTACAGCCTTGTCACCAATTCACCACTCCAACCAAGCATACTGAAATCTGTGGTTACCACCTCTCTAGTCAGAACTGTGACAAGTTCCAGGCCTTCTGTGAGGGGAAAAAAATGCTCATTTCTCAGATGGTCACAGAGAGTGTAATCATTGTGGCTCTGAGAGAGGCCACAAGATGCTCAAGATCTGTCTGCCCAGTCTCACCACCAGGAGGGCTGATGCCATCAACCCCCATAGCCTGCCACCATGCCAAACTGTGCCACGGTAGATCTGAACATGTGCACTCTGACTAGCTGACTGCTGGTCCAAGACGAAGGCAGAAGGGCTATATGTTCTTTGGGATTTTTAATTCCAACTCTTTAAAAGCAAAGAAATGTGGCTTGTGCCAAAACCCCATTGATGAGGGCTTAAGTGCGGGTGAGAGAAGCAACATTTGAGAATAGGAAAATGTATCAGATATGGCCGGCATGAAGGGCGATGTGAGAGGGGAGAGGCGGGGGGAGAGGAGTGGGAAACGTATAGCTCCCCCATATGCAGCCCTCAGCCACCCTATTCCCCAACCAATTCACTAGATGGTTCAGATTCTGAAAAGGATGCACAGACAGATAGCCAGATCCTGGTAGTTACACGATAAGTGTTCGCAGTACACGGTTTCTTTGAAACTAGAGTTAGTAAAAGTTGTTTAGAAACCAATAAGCAGAATCGAAATTTACATTTCTTAATGATTCCTTTTGGAATCTGAATTTTGGAACAGGTTCTTGATGCTTAACCCTATCTTCACATGCAAAGACAGATGGATAGTTGACAAACACTATGACTTTGCCTCCGGACATTTTACAAACACACTGGCTGGGTATGCTTCATTTACGCAACCTTAAATGTGTCTGCTCTCAATGGCAAGCCTGCCCCCTTTGGAAGCCTTTTGGAAATGGGCTGTCACAAGTGTCCAAAACCAAAATTTTGATTACAGCTTCTAGTTTCACCATTCAGAATACTGGAGCAAGTTAGCCTGCCTCATGAAATTTAAAATATGTATAGTTGTATAGTAAATCTAGCAGTCCAGTCAAACCTTTACAGTAGTGTATAAAAACTGTATTTGTACATTTGCCTGACTGAATCTGGAACTTCATCTCTGTCTGCTACCTGCAGGAGTTATCCGAGGAAATCGAAGATTACACACAGCGATTCAACACAGAGGACCAATTGGAATGGAACCTGGTTCTGCAGGAAGTGGCAGCTTTTGTAGAGGTAACCAGCCCTTTCAATGTTGTCTACTTTATTATCCATCATGCATGTTAAAAAGGTGTTTGATTAGATTGGCCTGAGTTCTTGATGTATCTTATAAAAAGATAATAAAAACCCATAGATATGTGAAGTTACTGAAATGAAAACATTAATACAACATTTCTTCTTCCTGGACTGACAGCCAGGTAAGTAAAGAAGTTGTTGAGTTGTCTGCAGCCTGGTACATTACATCAGCTGTGGTTCACTAGTGTTTCTCTCCATTTGTAAAACAGGCAGATCCAGTGGTGGTTCTGAATGACAACAGTTCTGTTGTCGTCACCAGCAATCGGCTGCAGGAGGGAAGTGTGCCTCCACTGGAACAAGGCATGGTGGTTGGGCAGCTCGTCCTCGCAGATGCACTAATCATCGGCAACTGTAACAACCAGGTTTTAACCCACTAATTTGCAGTTCCTAACACCTCATTCACATCAACACAGTTTTTGATTATTCTTATTAAAGACTTGTTGACTCTCAAACAAACATCAAACATTTCAGTGCCGCTGAAACTTGCTGACATTGTCTTACACAGGATAGAGACAGATTCAATATTAAGGTATGAGTGATTTGAGAGAACTTGGTCACATTTACAAATTTTTTCCTATTTAGAATTTTCTATGAGGTACAAACAAAATTGACAAGTAGTAAAGACCTGTCCTGAGAGTTAGTGTAAATTTCTCCACAGGGGTAAAAAGACTTGTTTGATCAAAGATTTATCATCTGGAATTTAAATGTGTCACATGTGAAAACCGTATGTGGCATCAATAAGTTGCAATAAAAAATGCACAGCTCGACGTTTTTTCCACAGCCTTTTATTTCATAACACTCTTGCCAATGTCGGGCAGCCTCTTGGTTGGTCACTCTCTTTTTCTCTCCTTAGTTTCCTCCGTAAACGTCCTCTTTGGTCTACTTGCCTCTGCCAGTAACTGACGTTCTGTCCATAGAGGCTGCTGAGCACTGTTATGTTGCCGGCTCAGCTGGCTGTGTTGCAGCTCTACACCAGCAGCAGCAAAATGTTGCTTGAAACTTGGGTGGCGAGCTAGCCAACAAAGCTAAACAGCAACTGAAGCAAGAGCACTTACAGTAACGTTACCGATGTCAGAGGGTGTTAGGTAGTAAGTTTGCTAACAACTCCAGATTTATAGCTAGTGGCTAAAACCTTTGTCTGTGAAACCTCTGGCTGATTTTGCTCGAGTCGCCAAACATCAAGGAAGCACAACAACACAACACACAGCAAGCAGCTGTTATTACTGACTAGTAACCGAAAGAAGGCCAGCTGTGCATCTGTCCTGCATCCTTTTAGCTCACACAAAAGAGTAAAAGCCAGTCTCATATTTACTCTTTTCTGGTCTCTTGCTCGGTCGCTCTCTCTTTTTCTCTTCCTCGCTTCCTTTGACGCCTTCTTTGGTCTCTTCACAGCCTCTGCCATGATATCCATACTTAGAATGCCGAGCTAACTTCCTCCAAAGAACTTAAATTGTACATTCTATACTCTTTGCTTCTTTTTATTGCTTGCTTGCTGAAGAGTTATTACACTGTTCTCGCGAACAGTTCCTGCTGGGATTCCAGTGTTAAACAGAGCTATAGCAGGCCCAGAGTAGCAATTACAGAGATGCCATGCAACCTATTACAAGCCAGTGTACATCAAAATAATTTTTAAGCTGTTAATTGAAAGGTGTAGTTGAATGCTCATTTTAAGGTTCATTACTTGTATTTAGGGTATTTAAATTCTTCAATGTTAAAAAAACACCTTATATTTCTCATATTGTCCACTGCTTCAGCATCTCTTTTCACCCTCTGTCTGAACACTCAGTTTTAGCGCCTGTCCCTGAAAACCCACTTGCTTCTGATTGGCCAGTTTCCCCAAGCACAAAAGAGAGGCGGGACTTAGCAGCACCTAGCTGAATCGAGGCCTGCTGTGCGAGATGTGGCCTTACTGATTACTGTACACAACACAACTGAATAAAGTTGTGTTGTGTGGTTTTACAGAAACTGGATCAGAGTTGATGGAAATAATCTTGTCCTGTTTCCCCTCTGAGTTTATATGTTACTAGTTACTTTAACCGCTAACTACTACTGTCAGCAGCTGCTGCTCACTATTGCTGATTCTGCCCAGACTGGAAGTTTGGTGCTTTGGGGGTGTGTTTGTGTTTACACCTCTAACATTACTACAGAAGTTTGGACCGCTGGTTCAGAGCCAGCTGATAACAGGAGCTACTATTAGCAACTAGCAGCTAGCTGTTAGCAATCCATAACATTAGCAACAAATAAAGCTATCTGTCCATCAAGAAACTTAAATCACAGAGTTGTGGCAGAGCAGCTAGAGGACATAAGAGAGAAAAACAGAAAATATTTATCTTTCCTTCATAACTGTAAAAGAACTTTCTGTGAGACACACTGCACTGCACAACCTAGGGAAATACAATTTCTACGGCACCTTTAAGATAAAATACTGCATAATGGTGCTTTAATGCTAGTGACCACAGGGACATCTTCATCTCCCATGTCAGTGTACCATCACCTACACTGAATGTATTGTGTTCCAGCTGCCGCAGGAACTTCAGGGCCACGATGCCCCCTCAGTAGACAAACAACATTTCTCTGTACAGTGTTGTGTTGAATTCATTTCCTTCCTCATAAAACATATTTCAAAACCAGCTTTGTTTACATTCTTGTTTACTTGCTAGCAGTCATCTTCTTCACTGCAATTGTGGAAGCATTGCTGCGTTTCTTGGAATGTTAACACCACCTGTAGGTCAGTGGACAAGTGAAAAACCGTTGGCAGGACTGTGTCATGTCACAGGCATGCATGTGCACAAGCAAAATGCTGACCCACTTGTAAAACTTCTGTTCCATAGTGCCACTAGTGGTCAGAAACTGTACAAGGTACTTTTCCATGGACTGCTTTGCTTTAGTGAGGTGTCTTTTAGCATCAAACTTCTTCTGAAACCATCCCTCTTTATTTCAGTTACACTAGCTCAATGATGACATGGCGTTGACAACATAGACTGTATATAAAAAGGTTGACAGTTGTAGTAATATTTAAAAAAAATTCCAGGTCCCCTTATAAAAATAACTATTTGCAGTATGCTTTTGTAACCATTTTGTCTGCTTATTTTTGTGAATACAACTTGCCCACAAATGGAGCAGAACAGGTAGCCAAAAACCATGAACAGGTGTCATAAGACAGTTTTTAATGTTTAAAAAACTGCAGGGGGGCCAGTGTTTTAGTGTCAGCTTTTCATGTTCTTCTCTCTTATCTGTCTGGCTCACAGATCTGCATTTTAACTCTGCTCTTAGCAGCAACACTAACAAAACAATATGGGAAAGTGTTGACCTACAATTTCTAGTCGTTGGCCTTCTATCAGAGCAGAATCTTCATTCATATAAATATTGAAAAAATAATTATGAATCTTGAAAAGGTGTATTTATTTTATTATTAACACATTTAAGTTTGAAGTCTTTATGGAGAATTCAAGTGGACCAGCAAAGTCAGCTTCCCCGCCCAATATGTTTGGGATTGGGTGACACATTTGCCTTATACATGAGTTAATGAAGACCTGGTAATACAACATGTTTGGACCTGTTTCTGCTATATAATCAAGATGGACAAGAATTTGTCCCCCTCAGTTTTGTGTGTCTGTGTGTGTGTCACAGCAGCACTTGCCACATGAACGAGAATCTTCTTAAATTTTGGCTCCTCACCTTTATTGAGGAGTTTATGGAAGTGAAGAAAGAGTACAGTACGCCTGTATTCTGGATGTTACGGTTTACCAGTCTGTCTTGACAGTGCCCTTTAAGGCAGTTTACAGAATACCTTACTAATTTACAGAAGGAGAACCCTGGTGTAAGAGGTCAAAAACACTGACATTAGCTTTTTATTAGATTTATAAAAACATTCATCTTACTTGGGCGGTAACTAGTTGTGTGTCCAAATGTATATTGTTGTAACTTACAACAGTAAAATAACACCTGACTAACATCCAGGACGAACCCCTCTCTGCATCTGGTATCTGACTTATTTGTCCTCTCAGCACTCCCATTCCATGTTCTTCCTCTCCATCTGTGGGAGGTGCCACCTGTAGTTGCAGTGCCCTCTGCTGGCTATAATACTGACCAAAAACTAAAATCTCTATAAGACTTATTTAGAGAGGATTTTAAATGTAATTTTTGCTCAGTTGGCAGTATGGCATGTGTAATTTGACTTTGGAGGCCCTCATTTTGTCAGTCCACAAACAATTTTCTGTGTCCTAACAAAAACTTACTTATTCTTTCGTCTGTAAAACCACAATGCCTAAAATACTGATTCTCTACAAATATCTCAATAGTAAGTTGATGTCAGTGTTGTTTTCTTCCCTTTTTAGGTGAAATTCAGTGAATTAACCATCGATATGTTCCGTATGCTTCAAGCTTTGGAGAGGGAACCTGTAAACCTGGCCACACAGACCTCGAAACAAGGAACGCTGGTAAGTCTCATGTTATATAGATAGCGTACTTGTGGTTCTGTTGAATTAAGGTTTTTACAACATAAAGAGAGAAGACACCAGCTACTATGATGCAAGGTTTTTATATTGTGCTTTTATTTTGCTTCAGTTAAATGAGAAAGTTGTATGTGTATTTAAAAAGCAGACTGTTCCCACCACGGCAACAGTAAACTTGTTATGTCTCATAAATGATGCAGTCTCTCTCAGGGCCAATCAGTAGCAAAGACGTGTATGTCACCAAGTTGTGGTGTGTAATAGCAACCCTGTAATTATGCTTTAAGTGAGATGCATCACTCCCTCAAGAGTTGCATAATTCCCCACTGGGGTCTGGCTAATTTTGTAGATGACAAATGTGATGAACAAAGAACACGCAAACGCCTCCTGGAAGATTTAGCATTAGCAGTTAGCATTTTGTACATAAAGTAAACTGAAATATGTAATACAGTAATTCTATAAAATATTTCTCCACAGGAACCCAACGAGAAGCCAGCCAAAAGAGAAAACCCTCACAAGTATTTGCTGTACAAGCCAACATTCAGCCAGCTTTTTACTTTCTTGTCTGCCTCTTTTAAGGTCAGTATTCACTTTAATAATACAAGTAGCCTGAAATAGGTTAAGTTACTGGTTTATAATTAGACATGAAAAGTCGTCAAGACGACGATGTTGCTATTTAGATTCTCAGCTTTAGCCATATTAATGTGAATATCCAAATATTGTTTTTGGAGGGGCATCTTTTGGGGACAACTGACTGGGGGAGATGGATGGGTTTTCTTCTGCATCCCCTACCCATTTATTTCATGTCACCATTTAAAGTACATGTAGCATTTTAAAGAGGTTGTATTGTGCTTTTTGGCTTTTCCCCTCTACTTTATTGAGTTATATAAATTTTTTGGGCATGTCATAGGTTTGCAAAGGGAAAAAGTCCAAAGTGAGTTCCCATCTCCCACAGAAAACTGCTCTGAACTGCCTGAAAACAGCTCGTTTGTAGTCCAGCCTTTTCCCTTATATCCTTGTGACGTCACAGGGATGAAAGCTAAATGCGCCTCATATAACGCTCGCCAAGCAACTAGTCAGACAAAGAAAAACAGTGAGCTGCAGCACACAGCTCTCCTCTCCCTTCCAAACACTAGCTACCCTCCAGGCAGTCAGTGGACATAAAGTTGTTCCTGTGATGTAGAGACAGAGCTCAGTTAACTTTATGGATGAAAGATACTTTTGTTACAGATTAATAACTCACCACTCTGAAACTCTTGCTCCAGTCCATGTTGCCAAGCTGGTCGGCAACATGTACAGCTGAACCGAAGCCGTGTTTACCGGCTTCTCACTGACCTGCCCTACTCTGCTTCTGATTGGCTAGTAGTCCTTAACTAGGAACTGCGCATGTGCAACTCCCAAAAAAGATCATTTAGAGACAAGATGTATCACTCCATAGCTAAAACGAAACCTTCAACACAGGGTGAAAAGAGGAGCTGCAGCAATGTGCAGTATCAAAAGAAATATTGAAAATTAAACCATGTAAACCTGTTCTGGTACAACCCCTGGGATTTTGAACCTGAAAATGAGCATAAAACCACCTCTTTAATCTAACCTAATTGTACAATTGTATTATTGCTACATTATCTTTTGCTCTAATTTCCAGGAATTGCCTGCCAACAGCGTTCTGCTTGTCTACCTGTCAGCTACTGGGGTCTTCCCTACTGGGAATTCAGATTATGAAGGTAAAATGCTAAATATTAGACTTTTCCCCACAAATATAATATGGAATATTCATGAAAAATGGACATGACACCAAACTGTTTAAAAAATCTAAATCAGATACTTATTTGGTGTGACTGCTGTACGAGCCCAAAGTCATTAAGAACATTTTGAGTGTAAAGAAGAACAAGGAGTATTGGAAGTAATGGTGTGGCCTCCACAGAGCCCTGATCTCAACATCATCCAGTCTGTCTTGGATTACATGAAGAGAGAGAAGCATCTGAGGCTGTCTCAATCCACAGAAGAACTGTGGGGAGTTCTCAAGATGTTTGGGACGACCTACCTGCTGAGTTCTTCAAAAACTATGTGCAAGTGTACCTAGAAGTATTGATGAGGGCAAAGGGTGGTCACACCAAATATTGATTTTACTAATAATATAATCTAGTAATATGCCTATTTTTGAAAACAGTCTTACTCTACAGTATTATTTCACACCTGCTTAAACTTTTTCACAGTACTGTATGTGTCACAATCTACCGTGTCTTTTCAAGTTGAAGAAACTAAAGTTTTGTCTTTGAACACTTCCTGTAGGGCCTTATGATTTTGGAGGAGTTCTCACAAATACAAATCGAGATGTGGTGAACGGAGAGACGGTGCAGAAGAGGAATCAGGCCCAGAAAGAAATGCACTGGTGAGGCATGATTAATCTGTCTAATGTGTTTATTAGCATTTTTCAAAATGTTCATTTAACATTTTAGGAAAAGCTGAAATTTTTAAATATTTCTAAATGTGGAGCAGAACAAGGTTGTTTTTTTTATGTAAAAATGTACCAAAAACAATTCCTCCTAGTTGGCAGTTGCTAGCCTTAACCCAATCAGTGGAACCAGTCTTTTACTTTGGCTTGCTGTGACTTATTAAATAGCATCCATCTGACCCAGTCTGATGTCTGACTGCTGCCCTCTCTCTGTTAATAACAAGTTTAGAAACTCTGTCCATGTATACATAACCAGCAACCTGAGAAATAACTAAAAAGGAATCCTTGCTGGGACAGAAATATAACTTCCTGACCTTGACTTGTTTGTAATGTTGCAGCCTTCATCCAGGGGACTTATTCCCTTTCACCCGGAAGCCACTTTTTGTCATTGTGGATTCTTCTAACAGCACAGCCTACAAGGTACGTTAAATGTGTATCAGATGTTTTCAAACAACAATAGAGGGAGAGTCCTGTGAAGTGAAATGGACAAGTGCATGCTGGTGTTCTAAAAACAACAGGAACTTAGTTATTGTAGTTTGGCTGCTGATTTGGCTGATGAACAGCTCCTCGCACCTTCCTGCATGTTGTGGAGTTCCGCAGCTGCGTTGTCATAACTGGAGGCGAGCGTGGCTTAGAATTTTTGTATGTTTTGGACACTGCACATATGAGGTTAATGTCACTTCCTGCGTCCTCCACGTGGTGCTAAAGAATACCCACTAATTATACGTCATGTTCCAGTATATCAAGTGTACACCACCCAGTGAACATTTCAGGCCGGGGCACAAATTTGGGGCAGATTGGACAATGGACACTCAAGTTACAACAATACTTCCTTTTTCATGGCGAATAATGCGTCACCACCGCAACAGCTTTTGATGAAAACTCAAAAGCTGAATTATTGAGTATCATTAAGGTCTTGCTGAAAATACTTCAGATGTAGTTAATCTACTAGGAGAGGTTTTTAAGAGTATAGTGCCTGTAATGTCCTGTTGCCAGTAGGTGGTGTTATGGCTATCTGAATATTGGCATGTAGATGGACACTTATGTCTAGTTCCGGGCAGATTTTACAGTGTACACTGAAGTTACAGCTACTTCCTGTTTCATGGTGAAATTTGACCACACACTGTTCAGCGAAAACTCAAACTTTGAACAACATTTCATTGTGAAGGAAGATTGCCCTGTGAAAAGTTGATCAAATGAATTCTCTAGAAAGACTTAAATTAAAGTATGGAGGCTGTAAATAAAAGATCCCCTGAAATTGCACATTATATTTAAACTGTCTGACTTCCTATTGGGTTTGGGGTAAGGCTCCTAGTTCCTGACGTGAAACCCATCTTTAGGTTCAGTGTGAAAACCTCCCGAAGATATCATTGTTTCCTTTTTAAGTTGTCTTCAGTATCAAAATCATCCAGTGATGGCTGTGCGTCTGTTGGTACACTACAAACTAAATAAATAAGAAAATGGGTTCAAGTTGATGTTCACTTCCTCCTGTTTCCATCCCTAACTTTGTCTTTAAAAAAATGTGGTATATATACTGAACAAAATTATAAACTTAACACTTTTGTTTTTGCCCCCATTCATCACGAGCTGAACTCAAAGAAACAACACAAATCTTTCAAAATCTGTTAGTGAGCACTTCTCCTTTGCCGAGATAATCCATCCACCTCACAGGTGTGGCATATCAAGATGCTGATCAGACAGCATGGGGATTGCACAGGTGTGCCTTAGGCTGGCAGTAATAAAAGGCCACTCAAACATGAGCAGTTCCATCACAGATGTCACAAGTTTTGAGGGAGCGTGCAATTCATAATTTTCATGTGACATCATATTCCAAGGAAAATGTAATATGCCCTTGGAGGGCAAAAAAGACTGTTGGAAATGCTGGATGGTATTCCCCAGAAGGTAAAAGTAAACATACCGCAGTTGAGCGGTGGCAGTGACCTGGCGGTTTTTAAAAGTAGAAATGCAGCAGTGGATGCTGTAACATTATATGGATCGGATATGCCCAACACTTGCAGTTTGTGTTCATGTCTTTCTTTTTCTTAAGGTTAAAGGTGATACAAATACAATTTGACTGCTTTTGCAGCGTATCTACGGGGGAGTAGCGGTGTGTTGGTCCGTTGTTTTACCCTCCTGGTCAACGCGACTGAAAACTATGAATTGGCATACTGACTGGAGGTATGTCCATCATTCTCTACCATAAGCTGTCTGAGAACTTGGCAGTACATCCAACCGGCCTCACAAACGCAGACCAAATGGTGGTTACACGAGACACCCCCCCCCCCCCCACACACACACACACACACACACCTTTTGTGTACATAGAGAAAGTCTTAGATCTTTGAGTTCAGCTCATGATGAATGGGGGCAAAAACAAAAGTTTATAATTTTGTTCAGTATATGATATTATCACACTGTGAATGCATATTCTTGTAATTTATGACTGTTTCTGTCTTCTGTTTAACAGAATTTCACAAATCTGTTTGGCCAGCCTCTGGTGTGCCTACTATCACCTACAGTATATCCCAAGAGTGTACAAGGTGTGTGTTACTGTAGAACTCAGCTCAATTAAGTTTGATGATATTCTCTATCTCACTGCTGTCAACAAATCCCATGAAAAGATCAGAAGTAACAACTTGTTACATCAGTACTACACCGTTCTGGTTAGTAGGAAACATTCATTGTTGGTTTTGGTCTGCACGTGGGAAAACCGTTTTCAGCTGTCAGTTTTGCTGAATTGTAATTAAATACTTGGATATAGTTGGAAAAATTGATTTTAAATCAATCCTTATTTATTAACCTAAATCTTAGTCATTAGTCAGTCTTAGTTTAAAAATGTATTGTCTTTTTTGAAGTTATTGAGGCTTCTGCTTTCACAAGGTTTCCAGGCGCTGTGTTTATGTGATCATGAAGAGACATGTCTCGTGTTCTCACCTGTCCCCTGTGCCATGTCTCTGCTTCCCTGTTCAGATCAGTCTCAGCGTGGGAGTCTCTTCACTCTGTTCCTTTACAGCCCACTCTTGGCTTTCTCCTCTGTGTGCGGCTTAAACAGCGTGCGACGAGGACTGTGGGAGAGGGCTCAAGAATTTCTTCGCAAAGTCTACCGTGACATTGGGCAGATGATAACTCGATCACGGACCATAGGTAGTGTATCTCACATAGTTCTTTCTAGTCTGCTAGTATGCTGTGAAGATTAGAGTGGACCACGGAACATGCAATACATGTTTTTATTTGTGTTTTTTTTCATTTTCAAGTCAAAACGGTATTAGCCATGGTAAAAGGAATGCCGTTTCACTAATTGAATTATTTAATTCACTAAAATAGGAGAATAGGTTACTGACTAACGCTACCAACCATGAACTGCAGTGTCCCTGGACCATGTCTGGCCAGGGACCATTTCTTATCTCTCTCTCTCCTTTTCATTTCTTGTTATCTCTCTACTTCCAACTCTATAGTAAAGTTACAGAAATGCCCAAAAGATATTTAAAAAAGAAACGGTTGCTTGTTTTGTCAAACCAGCAATCTAATACGAAAACACATTCAACTGATGATGTTAAAAGAAATTCTCAACTTTTGAAAGCTTGATTTAATGACTCTGTTGAGCAATTAATTGATTAATCCACTAATCTTTTCACTGTCTCCCCAGATCAAGCCTTTTTACAATTCTTTGGTGACGAGTTCCTCCGGCTGCTGCTGATCCGCTTTGTGTTCTGCTCAGCTGCACTGAGACTACACAAACTCTTCCGGGTAAGTCACTACAGCTGCATTTTTCCCAAGGAAGTTGCATTGTTTGAATTTGAACGCCATTTGTCGCAATACTGCTTCACAGCCTCTGTTGAGTGATATCTAAGTGCGTCCCACAGTTCATCACAGTCCACCAGAACAGTTGCTGTTGGTAAAACACCTACAAGCTGCTGTGCTGTCTATCACAGTGCCAACCCACACGGTGGCCAGACACATTCTGGTTTCTGCAGTTCTATTATTTACTCCATTGTGTAGCCTCTGTGGCTAAGTTATTTTAAAACTAACCTGCTAACCAAAGTCATTTCTGGTCATTTCGTTATGCATGTTGTTTTCATTTACATTGTTTATGAAATAACCACTCACTTCATTAATACAATCAATTCAACATTCATTTATTAGCTATATTTAACTTCAAGTAACCAAAATGTCTGTCAAGAGTTTTAAAGATATTTTGGGGGTAAATTCTTCACCTTTATTGGACAGACAGGAAGTGGGTGGAGAAAGATGGGCATGACAAGCAACAAAGGCTAGATCGAACTAAAATACGCTGCAAATATTGAGCTACCAAGCCACTCCAGTAATGTGTATTTTTAATATTTCTATGTTAGCACAATTAGAAAAATGATTAGAAATAGTTTTGTTGTTTTACATAGGACATTTAAGTAACATTTGTAACTGATTATGAGCCAACTTTGGTTGCTCTGTAGGAGGAGCTTCCTGTTTGAAAAAAATACACCGGGTGAAGATTACTCCTGCCTCTGTGTTCTCCTTCCACAACTCATCCAATCCTTCACTCTGACCTCGGATCACACTCCCAAGCTGAAGGGATGTGATTTTAAAAAAGAAATGGTATTTATCCTACTTCAGAATTTTGAATGCAGCTGTTTGATGTTTGAGAAAATACAGAAACATCCATCCATCTTCATCCGCTTATCCGGGATCGGGTCTGAATGGGGGATCCCGAGGCATTCCCAGGCCAGTGTGGAGATATAATCTCTCCACCTAGTCCTGGGTCTTCCCCGAGGCCTCCTCCCAGCTGGACGTGCCTGGAACACCTCCCTTGGGAGGCGTCCAGGAGGCATTCTTACAAGTTGCCCAAACCACCTCAACTGGCTCCTTTCAACGCAAAGGAGCAGCGGCTCTACTCTGAGCTCCCCGCGGATGGCTGAGCTTCTCACCCTATCTCTAAGGGAGACACCAGCCACCCGCCTGAGGAAACCCATTTCGGCTGCTTGTACCCGCAATCTCGTTCTTTCGGTCATGACCCAGCCTTCATGACCGTAGGTGAGGGTAGGAACAAAAATTGACCAGTAGATCAAGAGCTTTGCCTTACGCCTCAGCTCTCTTTTCGTCACAACGGTGCAGTAAAGCGAGTGCAATACCGCCCCTGCTGCTCCGATTCTCCGGCCAATCTCCTGCTCCAGTCTCCCCTCACTCGTGAACAAGACCCCAAGGTACTTGAACTCCTTCACTTGGGGTAAGGACTCATTCCCTACCTGGAGTTGGCACTCCACCGGTTTCCTGCTGAGAACCATGGCCACAGATTTAGAGGTGCTAATCCTCATCCCAACCGCTTCACACTCTGCTGCGAACAGATCCAGTGAGAGCTGAAGGTCACGGACCGATGATACCCTCAGGACCGCATCATCCACAAAAAGCAGTGACGAGATCCCAAGCCCACCAAACCGCAGCCCCTCCTCGCCACGACTACGCCTCGATATCCTGTCCATGAATATCACAAACAGGATTGGTGACAAAGCGCAGCCCTGACGAAGGCCAACCCTCACCTGGAAAGAGTCCAACTTACTGCCGAGTACTTGGACACAGCTCTCGCTTTGGATGTACAGGGATTGGATAGCCCTGAGAAGGGCCCCCCTCAACCCATACTCCCACAGCACCTCCCACAGTATCTCCCGGGGGACCCGGTCATACGCCTTCTCCAGATCCACAAAGCACATGTCGAATGGATGGGCATACTCCCAAGCCCACTCCAGGATCCGTGAGAGTAAAGAGCTGGTCAGTTGTTCCACGACCGGGACAAAAACTGCATTGTTCCTCTTCGATCTGAGGTTCAACTATCGGCCGAACCCTCTGTTCCAGCACCCTGGAGTAGACTTTACCTGGAAGGCTGAGAAGTGTGATACCCCTGTTATTGGCAAACACTCTCTGGTCCCCTTTTTGAACAGGGGAACCACCACCCCAGTCTGCCACTCCTTGGGCACTGTACCGGACTTCCACGCAATGTTAAAGAGACGTGTCATCCAAGACAGCCCCTCCACACCCAAAGCTTTTAGCATTTAGCATGTTTGACTACCTCAGTGACTTCCTCCAGGGAAATTGACGGGAAACCCCCCATCAGCCTCCAGCTCTGCCTCTACTAGAGTCAGTTGGATTTAGGAGTTCCTCAAAGTGTTCCTTCCACCGCCCAATGACCTCCCCAGTTGAGGTCAACAGGGTCCCATCTTTACTGTACACAGCTTGGACGCTTCCCCCTCCTGAGATGGCGGACAGTTCTCCGAAAGTCCTTCTCCATGTCTTCTCCGAACTTCTCCCACACCCGCTGCTTTGCATCTGCCACAGCACCCGCTGCTTTGCATCTTGCAACCGCCTCCGGAGTCCTCTTGAGACAACAAATCCCGGAAGGCCTCCTTCTTCAGTCAGACAGCTTCCCTGACCACCGTTGTCCACCATGGTGTTCGAGGGTTACCGCCCCTTGAGGTACCTAAGACCTTGAGACCACAGCCTTCCGCTGCAGCTTCAGCAATAGAGGCTTTGAACATTGCCTACTTGTGTTCAATGTCCCCAACCTCCACAGTGATGCAAGAAAAGCTCCGCCGGAGGTTTGAGTTGAAGATCTCATGGACAGGGGCGTCCTCCAGACGTTTCCAGTTCACCTGCACTACCCGTTTGGGCTTACCAGGTCTGTCCAGAGTCTCCCCCCCCCCACCCCCTGACCCAACTCACAACCAGATGTTGATCAGTTGACAGCTCCGCCCCTCTCTTCACCTGAGTGAGACATACAGCCTCAAATCAGATGAAGCGATAACAAAATCGATCATCGATCTTTGGCCTAGGGTGCTCTGGTACCATGTACACTTATGTGCATCCTTATGCTTGAACAAGCAAGGTGTTTGTTATAGACAATCCATGACTAGCACAGAAGTCTAACAAGAAACACCCACTCAGGTTCAGATCAGGGCGGCCGTTCCTCCCGATCACGCTTTTCCAGGTATCTCCAACGCGCATGTGAGCAATGATGAACTCTCCCAGCAGAACTATGGAGTCCCCTACTGGAGCCCTGTACAGAACTCCATTCAAGGTCTCCAAGAAGGCAGAGTACTCTAAACTGCTGTTTGGTGCATATGCACAAACAACAGTCAGTTCCCCCCCACCACTACCCGAAGGCGTAGGGAGGCGACCCTCTCGTTCACCGGAGTAAACTCCAATGTAGCGACGCTCAGCCGGGGACTTGTGAGTATCCCCACACCCGCCTGGCACCTCACACCTTGAGCAACTCCAGAGAAAAATAATGTCCATCCCCTATCAAGGAGTACGGTTCTAGAACAGAGACGGTGTGGAGGTCAGCCCCACCAGATCTAACTGGTAGCGCTCCATCTCCCGAACAAATTTCGACTCCTTCCCCCACAGAGAGGTGATGTTCCACGTCCCCAGAGCCAGCCTCTGCTGGTGCCCTGTGGATCCGCTAAAAGACCACTCCCATTAGGATAGAAATGTTTCATCATAGGTTAAAGGAACAACTTTGTATTGACTTGCCTGTGACCCTTGAACTGGAGCCAGACCATGCCAACAAAATGCCCCCCACAGTATAACAGATCCACCAGAGCCCCCCACTATAGGGTGGAGGATATGGTGAAGGATGAATCTGTAGACCTGTGCTGATGGTTTTTGCACCACTGAACTCTCCAGTGTGCATTCATCTTTGTAATGAGGGGTTTATGCACCGCAACCACTGCTGACCTCAATGTCCGAGCATATTTACTGACGTCTTTCCCAGAGATCTAAATGCTGATTTCACTTAAGTCACTGTTCCTGGTGAGACACACACCAGCTGAGCCGTCTTTGTGACTGAAGCTCCTGCCATCCATTTAAATTTACATTTACTCATTTTATCATCGCTTTTATCCAAAGCAACTTACATTTGAGGAACAACATACAAGCATCAACAGAGCATCAAATACTGATCTACAACTGACAATACATACTAGCAGCAATAAATACTAGTAAGAGCTCATAGTACATATCACATCAATGGGGTAAATACCTAGGGAAGGAAGTAAGAGTTAACAAAAAGTGCAATCAATACAAGATAATAGAGGTTAGGAGTTAGATCACTTAGATCTTTTGCTCTTGCCATCCTGATACAAAATCGGAATCAACTGGGCATGCTCAGCATTTTTATACCTGCCACAGAGCATGACGGGATAGTAATTGCTTTTTTGTACCATGCACTGCAGTGTGTGGAAGTCACTTATCTGTATGTTACATACCTTACTAAGAAATGCAGAAATAAGGTGAGTGTATTGTTCAAAGCCCCATAGTACAATCTGATTTTCAACCCCTACATTTTATTTTCTCTACAGTAACAGAGCGGTTTGTATTGTTTGTAGTGCAACTACAAACACATCAGGCAAGTGTGTTAATATATTGGCATAAATGTCTTATGTACAGTCTCATCTAACGTGTTCTGCTTGGTGTACAGTGAGTAGATATATTTGTAAACTTGTCTTCTCTGATTCAGCCCTCCATCCAAACTAAAATGGCATTTTTCTCGCCTCAGATCAGAGCCCTACTAAAACTGTTTCCAGAGTATGCATTTTAAAACACTGGTTTGGGGTTTCATTGGGTACAGGGTAAACTAGGTAAGTAAGTAAACTTTTTCAAAAAACAATGACCTAAGCTCTCCAGTCAGAGTCAGTGGCTGTGTTGCCCATTTTAAATTTCAGTAAAGCTGAATACACAGCAGAGCTGTTGTCATTAACCTGGATGTATGCTAATCATGTCACAATTATAAGAAAATGATTTTGTCACTGCAGAGCAGCAGCTTGGGTATGACTGCTGACCAACAGGTAGTATTTGTGAGACAGAAGGTCTGTTTTTAGCTGAGAAAACTCTGTTGTAGTCTGGACGGAGGGTTGAAACAGAAAGAAAATGATGCATTTATAAATGTAACTGGCTTAAAATGTGGATGTGTTTCCAAGGTGGTTTTAGTAGAGACCTCCACCCACAGTGAAACACTAAACAGTTCATGGCAGCTAGCAATCACAGAAAAACCTTTTCTGTTAGTTCACTGTATTCCTTTACAGCGTGCTTGTTGTGATATTTGTGGGAGTCAGAAGTGTTTGTGTTGCAGGAGTCCCGGAGTTTCCCAGAGTCGTACCCTGAGCTCCCCAAACAGGACACGGTGGAGAGCAGCCTTCTACAGAAGCAGATTTTGGAGCTGGCGACCATGCTCGACGTGCAGAGCCTATTTTGGGAGGATTCACTGGAAGCCTACTAACATCTTCGCACAGGGCGAAATGGCATACATGTATATACAGACTCCACTGCCAGAGCCCTCACCGTTGTCTTTGTTTTATTTTTCTTTTACAGGTAATGAATTAACTGATTCAGCACACACACATATTCATGTCCTGCATTTAACTGTTACTTGTGGATGCAGATGTAGTGCAACATTAAAATGTTTACATAGATAAGCCAGAGAATTTAATACAGTGTAAATTCTCCATTTTGAGTCTCGGCGGCTTGCTTCGTAAAAATAAGCATCACATAAGAGTAAACGGGCGAGAAAGACACTGCAAATAACTTTTCAACTCACCATTCCCCATCCAAACCGCAGCCTCTGACGTTATTCCTCATGTCAGATAATTGTAAAGAAGTTGGCCGGCTTGATTTAGTGTTTTTTTTTATAAAATGTATCATTGTTTCATTAGCGAAGGTTTGTAAGCCTGATGATAGAGAAAAGTCCTGGTGTGACTTTATTTGTCTGTACCAAGGCAGAGCAGGGCGGTACAGAGCGAGAACACAGTGCTAAACAAAACATGAGTAAATATTAAAAACAACTATGATGTTAGCACATTATTCACACACTAGGTTAGAATTTGAAAGATTTCACCAAAAATGTTGTTCTTGGTCTAGATTTTTATATTTTCCAAACAGTTGAACTTGTAGCAGGCTGAGGTGCATGAGGTTCTGTTGCGTGTTGTCGGCCCTCATTAGTTAAAGACATCACACCCCTTCATGTCATTAATCAGCAGTCCTTTTAATACCTTTAATCATTCATTGTTTCAGGCTTATGCGCTTTGAAAGTTACCTTTATTCCTTCCTCATCTCACTGGGCTATACTTGCATGCAAAGGCAAAGGAATGCGTCCATTTTGTTCTTATATCCACAAAGAATGGCCTCCATCTTTTAGAGTTATAAAATGGTTTGTAGATTTTAAAATGGCATGGGGTAGGGAAGTAAATTGAGCCAGTGCATGTGTTGCATGGGCCTGTAGATTTATAGTTGACCCAACAAATGAAGACAATCTAGGTTGAAAACGGAGGAGTTGACTTTGTGAAAAGGTAACGTGGTATGCATACTATTGTTTTTTTTCACCAACAACATTCACCATTCCATTTATTGCTTAACTGACACATCAGTAACCTTAATGGTCATGGCCTCATGTGACCTGCCTACCTGTACAGCCTCATTGGAATATCATTGGTTTGCTTCTTTGTAAACTACTTTCCGGACTTGTCTTACTTACCTATCCCTAGTGAGGTCCAGGTTATGCTTTCAAAGACCTAGTTTGCATGACGTTTCATCCAACCATGTGAGAAGGCGTTAAGTGTTATGAACGGCCGCAGTTGGAGGCAAAGTGAAAAGCCAGCCGTCCGTAGCTGTTTGCTTCAACAGAACGGATGGTCATACTGTCTGCTTCAAACAGTCAGAGACTTTTTAGGCCATCATCTAGTGGTTAATAGAGGAAATGCTGCTTAATGCTTTCCAGCATCATCAGTCATGGTGGTTACTGCCTGCAAGCAAGACCTTGATTATAGACCACAGGAAGTATCATGTCCAAACTGATCCTGTTACTGGCCTTAAACCAGGTAGCCTGTTCTTGTGACTGAAGCACAGTTATGCTAAGGCGCATCGCATTCAATCATGATGGCCCAGGACCTTTATCATCATTCATCTCTCTGTCTCGCCGTTGTTTCTGTCCACTTTCACCCAACACCCAAAAAATCAAAGATCTGTCAGATTACAGTTGATTTTATCTTAATTTTTAGGATAGCATGTGCGCTGTCCTAGCTAGCACTTCAGGAGACATAGTCTAAGTACTTTTTCAGTCACTTCAGATATCATTTCTATTTCAGTTTTGCCCAGCAGTAGAAAGTAGCATTTCATTAGACATCAGTCTGCCCGACTGGTGCCAGAATGAAATCCCCCATGCAGTCTCAGCTGATACCAGAATTAGGAGCCCAGAGACCTAGTCGGTGGAGAAAAGGTGTGCTTGTTGACTTCAGTGGTCATGGGAACACCAGAAGAATTTCCACTATCAACATACACAAACAATGGTGTTTATATAACATTTAAACAATATATGATGTTGTGCATGGTTCCCAGACTATGAATAGTAATGACCTTACTATTCTGATTCTATTCTGTTCTAATACTTATGACCTCCTTTGACCTTTAGTGCCATTCCTAGGCCAAATTGTTAGATTGCACACAAGATGTCTCATAATCTAATTGGCAGATTGCCATTAAGTTTTCACTAGTGTAAAGGATAAGGTTGTCGTCGTTTTTTTTATTGGTATTGTTATAAGACCAAAGACCAAAAGCGACAGTGTGTTAGTCCATCTTCCACTGAAGACACTAATCTTTAAAAACAATGTATAGTTTTATTTTTTTTTTAAAGGCTCCGTAATTTCCTGTAACAGCCGCTCACTGTAGTTTTTATCAAACAAGTCTACATGTGGTGCTCTAGTGAGTATTTGGGGCAGCAGGACGGTGTATGTGGGACTGAGTCAGAATAATCTACAGTGTGTGTTCATGGTGATGAAGGAACAGGTGACCCAGTGCAGCAGTGAGGCTCCCTGATGGGTGTTAATAGTTTGACAATGGAGCTCTATGGCTCAGAGGAAGAAGATATTTCAGGCTGTGATACACACACACAGGACTTTAATACACAGTTGGTAGATAATTCAGTTTGGATTGGAACTTTTCACAGGATTTGTGGATAATTTAAAAATATATAATATCACCACCCTTATCATTGAAATGGGAAAAGGGTCTTAGAATAGCTAAAAGCAAAATAAAAATTTTTGGACCGTATTATGTTTTGAATAATGCTCCACATCTTAACATTCCCCAACGTAGAAACAAGCTGAAGGCAGGTATGAAAAGCCCCAGTGTTTACCAGGTGGCCCTGGCAGGGGGAGACACTGCACAGGCTATTGTAGTGATGCTGAAAACCGTGAACTGGCTTTGACCAAAATGTTCAAATAAACATTAATGCAGGAAGTAGCCAAGACGGCTTGTAGGAATTAAGATTTTTGAATTGACACAAATGAAAACTATTTTTAGCCGTTATTATATTTATTGACATTATTTGAGTGTGTACATATCATGTAAAAGGATGTTTTGGCACAGATGTGTGTGTTCAGTATTTAGTAAGTCTATAAAATGTGTAATGAAATATGAAGTTGAAATGAAGGAGCGAAATGTTCACGAGGCCAGTTTGTTCTTTGGCCATTTTTCTAAAAATATTACATTCCAACTTTCAAGGACTTGAAGAGAGGCAGAGGAACACTACCGCTGTTTTCTCCATTTTCCATTTGTCTGGGAAAATGAGCTGTTTATACATTTTCTTTCCATTTTCATTGTAATATCAACCTCCATGTTCCGTTGTGTTGACAGTAATGACGATTAAGATATTGTAGGCTTGCACTTTATGAAGTGTAAACTTGTTATGATCTTGTGTGTTGTGCTTTAGGGGAAAAAAGAGAAAACTTCTGTGTGATTGTTCTTCATGCCAGCCCGTCACACCAGTGACCTTCTTTTTTTACAAAGAATAAACGTGTGAGTCAGTGATTTCAAACATTTTCCTACAGGAACTTTTCATCTGCTCACACTTTTTTAAACAGCTTCCGCCTGAAATGTGTGAAACATGTTTCTGAAAAGTGTTGAAAAGGCAGCAATAACATGTTTGAAAGAATTTGAAATCCTTGTTTTATAGCCAGTGGTGCTCTAAAACTATGCTGTCGGTGGGGATTGCAATGCCATTCATGATTTTTTTTACTTTGCAAAGGAATATTAACAACTAAAAAAAACAAAACAAAACAAAAACTTTGACATGTATGGACATCAATCAGGATAGAAGAAGTGAAGAAATGTATTTGTTTAAATTGTCAAATATTGCATGTTGACAAGTTTGTATGTTCATGTTTATATGTTTATAACATGTTATTGTATGGTGTGTTCCCTGAACTCAAAACCCATGAAAACAGAAAATATTGTGGCCTAATGGCACAAAAAGCATTATTTAATGGAAAATAACCCCAAACAGTGAAGTGACTGATCATAATTATAACTATAAAAAGAAACAAATAAACGAGATAACGTTAGCTTCTGTTATGACCGTTTGCTGTAGTGATGTCGTCTGTGCTTCATATTTTAAAAGAGGACCATGAACACAACCAATTATTTCATTATGTAGCACCAGTGCGATCATTAGCGCAGATACAAATTTGAATTTGCTTGTGCTCCTGCACAGATTAACCAGGATTATGCATTGTATGAGTGTGTGTGAATATTTATTTTTATTTCATGTTTCCAATTCCACTTCAGCTACCCAGCAGCATGTGGGGCATGGTGTAATAGCATACATTGATTGTGCATGATGAAAACGGCATTTCCTGCTTCACATAATTTGCTGAGTGTCAAGAGTATTGTTACAGGGCCACCAGAGTCCTGGAAGCTGATCAACTCTTTTTAGCACAAATTCTTAGCGATAAATCTTGTGTGCACGGGTGGAAACAATACCACTTAGACAAGATATTAAGAAGGTATTAATTTGTGCAAACAAGATACAAACTTTACTTACCAGGTAATTTCTATAAACAAGATATTTATTTGTATAAACAACGTAACTTGTATAAACAAGGACATTAATTTGTGAGATAGTAATGAGATATCAACACGATATTAACTTGTGCAAACAAAATGTTCTTTTGTGAGAACAAGATAATGTGTGCTAATAACTTGTGCACACATTCTCTTTTTGATGGTGTGTTTGAAGCGACTCTCAGATTGGTGGCTGATCTACAGCATCATACAGAGTACAAACTATTGTCATATGGGATTATAAAGCCTTATGCAAGATCAACGACCCCAAGATAAAATCCCACTCAAGCAGCACAAGGCTTTCCTCTGCCACTGCTGTCATTGCCTTTTAGTTATAATAAAATAGTTAAACTGTTGAGTGATAGAAGTTTCATTCTGATTAAAAGCCTAAAAAGATTAAAATATACCTATGTTTGCATTCCTGGACCCAAATTAGAGTTATCTTTTTTTTATTCTCATGCTTACCTGTTCAAACTTAGAGAAACATAGATGATGTGAGAACTTTCAAGTTGTTTCCAGCAGTTAGTGAAGTTTCCTAGCAGAAAATGGCTCAGCCGAGACACATAATCAGTAATGATCGGATTGCTGTCACAATCCTACTGAGTTGTTTCGTGGTTTCTTTTCTAAAGCAAGCTCTATGCACTTTTGTCCAACATTGATATTGAGAAAGTGCATAGAAGAAGTAGAGAAACCCACACCGACCTGACAGAGAAGATCGTCCGCTGGTGAGACCAAATCAGTGTTCACCCTGCATAACTAGTACAGTATTAGAATCTACCAGAGCACAAGAAATACTTGTTTTTCACATGAACGCACAAGCACAAAAGCCACTGCTCCATATAATGGACCCACATCTATGGAGAAGCATGCGGACGTTTCTTTGGAACACATTGCAAATAACTGCCGACTGATCAATCCTGTTTTCTCCCCCAGATATGCAGGGGTCATTTCTACCTTTTTATACGTGTGTCCGAATGTCCAAAAGATGGGTGCAGCCTTCCTTTATAGCAACATGTGTGACTTGCTTGTTGTGATTTTCAGTCGGTGTCAAACTGTCAAATGTATTTTCAAAATTTCAGTTTAAGAAAATGCACTGTAAGCAGCATGTTTGTTTAGAATAGAACGTGCCAAAGACTGGTGTACTTTCAATGATTGAGATCTGTGACTGTATCAGAGGGGTTTTTCTGTGTTGCCAGAGGGAGCCAATAAAGAAAAAGAAAATGTGGCTTCATAAAAGGACCAGTAAGTGTCTTTATTGAAGGACTGGGGAGGATGTTCAGTTCTCTGCGTTGTTGCCTTTAGTTCATCGTGTGTAAGAAGCATAGAGCATGGATCAATGATGCAGTGTTTTTTAAAATAAGTCTTTCAGAATACTGTATAAAGAAGATTTTTGAGTAGTATCTGTCATGGTTTGGACTGCTGCCTGACTTATTGTACTTAACAGGTAAATAGACAACTAGTGTACTCAAAGTTTTTTTATTTTGTGAACTCTTTATTTATGCTTTATATTGACCCCCAAAATGTAAATTCAGCATATGTAAACAATAATGGCTCTCAAGCGCATTCTGTCCAAGTTATGGATACAACATCTGTAATGTTACAGCAGCGCCTGTAGTTGTGACCATAGATGAAGAAGAAGAAATGGTCGATATGTTATTTCTTCTAAGTCTAAGCCATAGAGGGTCAAAGCTATTTTTGAACTGTGTCTTCACTTTCTTTTAACCCACCCAAAATGACACAGCGTAAATCTGCTTCATCAGATAATTTGTCATGATCCAGGATTGTGTCCATACAATGCTGGGCTACACTGGAAACAAGAGAGAAAATAAAAATTTCTTATAAAGTAACGAGTGACATAGAGAGATTAAGAACATTTGACTCCACTGATATGACATGATACATGGACTCAAACCAGGTGACCCTTTTCACTAGACTGTTTTGTAATTAAATGAGACGTGTCAGCAAAACATTGTGTCCATAGTACATATAGAAACATTTCTAGTTCTGTGATGTGTCTGCCTTGACACTGGTGGAGTTGAACATGAATGGTATGAAATCATAGAGCACTCACAGCCCTCCAGGTGTCACAGCGAGAACATGTGGTTCTTTACTACCATCCAGTGGCCACGTTAGGGTACTACAGCACTACACGAAATTAGTCACTCGGGGATCTAAGTGCAAAGGCCTAATACAGCCTAAAGTTTAGGTTTCAGTTGTTAGCGAGCGTGTTTTAATAAGTATTCTCAAACAAATATGCAGTTATAATGAAGCCAACTAAAACAGCAGATTTGGTTACCGTTCGGTGCATTTCTCTATTTAACGATACGCGTACAAAGAAAGGGGAAGTATCTTGACACACTGAGTATCTTTGTTACCACCAGCTTGTTGAGTTGAGTGTTGCTAAGGAACGTTAGAATGTCGGCTCTGGTCCAATCATCGTTGGAGAAAGATGTCACGTTCTTTAAACTGACCAACCAGAGAGATGTTAGCGTCACTACCTGTTGAAGTTTATCCAAGCTTTCACTCCAATAGACTTTTTTATTTTAACCTACTTATTCTGCCTGCTAAATAAAAACGATGGTCTGCTAATTAAAGATATTTTGAAGTCTTGACGAGTATATTTTGGTTTCTCATATGGTAAGACGGAGAATTTTTTAAGTAATTGGACAGACGCTAGAAAGACTTCTGTCAGGGTTAACGTTAGCTAATAAGCTAAGGCTAATGTCAGGCTAATGTATAACGTTACTTCTTGCTAGGCTACGTTGCCTTTTGATTATCGTTAACTGTTATATATTTAAAACGGATACATGCCCCATAAGCAGTAGTGAAATTTAACTAAGTACATTTGACGTTACTCATTTACTTTATAAAAGTACAAATTTGAGGTAACGTTATCCGTAAAGTTACTTTACATATTACATATATTGTATAATATAACATATAATATTTGTGTTTCATGACACTGATAACGTTACTATAATAGCGAACTTTTTACTACTTTAGTTACTAACGTCAGTTACTTGCATACAACATATATGCTTAACTTTTAAAACGTGATGCACTGTACAAAAAATAAACTACCTAACAACATATACAAATGAATGAGCTGAAACAGTGAGTCATTGAATCAATAACATGATTAATTGACAAGTACATGGATTTCAGAATTAACTGATTGGTCAAGGAATTACCTGAAGATTAATCCGTAATAGAAAATAATCATTAGTTGCAGCCCAGTATAAAATTAAGAATTAGCTTCACCTCAACCAACTAAAAGAGAAAATATTAAGGCATGAGTAAAAATAATAATACTATTTATATTGTTAGATGTATTATCTAGACTCACAGGGGCAATTTCTCTGCATTGATTACTTTAGTTTTGATACTTAAAGTTCATTTTCTTGATAATACTTTTGCACTTTAATTAGTCACATTTTCAATATAGGACTTTTACTTTGAATGGAGTATTTTTTCCAGTGTGTTACATATAGCATTGTCAGTGCATGTGTTTTAGGTTGGAATTCATAGTTTTGATTATGAGTATTGTTATTGTGAAGGCATCAGCTACTGAACTCTTTTTTATTTCTCTGTGTAGTTTTTGATTATTAAATCCCACATTTTTTGTCTTCCAAGGAGATGAAATAGGTTAAAAGTACAAAAGTTGCTTAAAAGTATACAAAATACACAATCTTCCTGGTTTTACCTATAAGATTCTGAACATTTGTCATTATCCCTGTTTAGCAATGACCACCTGTAATTGTACTACTGAAATGTTAACCACCTTGTCTAGAAAGAAAAGCTGAAATATGGTGCAATCAAATAGATCTTAAATATTCTATCATATTTTCTATTTATGTATGAATTATTTTCCTTGTGCTCCCGCATGCACCTGTAACCCTCATGTCATCAGCTTAACTCAAATTTTTCTGTTTCTGTTTCACAGAGGAAAGCAATGAGAACTCGGTCAAGTTCACCTCCAATTCATGTGCACATCAACGATGCCACACCGGTACATGTCCATGTGAAGAGCCAGGGGACGAGTCCTGCAAGGACGCCTCAGGTTAGAGATTTACTTTACTGTTTTCAGTTATTTCTGTTTTAAGGTAAATGTGCAGAAATTTAATGTGTGGATCTCAGTAGTTATGAAATCTTGTGAAACTCATTCCACTCACTCCTGTTCATAATGCACACCTGTTCTTATACAGTGTAGTTATTAGGCAGCATAGAGGCCTGACAGATGTCAATGACATGCTGCTGCACACACTCTGTGTTTTAAAGGGAAAGCCCAAAGTCGACAGAGGAAACATCCGTCCTACAGCCAAGGTCAAAACTCGAGTGCCATGGATACCACCGGGAAAGGCCTCCATACGGGATGCTTCATATAAGTGGGAGGTAACACACCTTGAAGAAATAATACAGCTAAATCCTAGCCTAGCATCCCCAGACTAATTTGCACATGCATGTTAGGATGTGCCAGCAAGGACAAACTACAGGGAGCCAGGGGGAGCTTAGCTATTAAAAAGAGAGGAGCAACGTGCTCCCCTAAAAACATAATCAGTGAATTTTTGGGGGGGTCTTTAAAATATTGACAAAATGCTATTTTTGTCATGTACTTCTGTTTTTCTGCATCTTCATCATCATGTATCATATATAAAATTAGACTTTTGTGTATGTGCAATTCATGCATGAGGGTTATTCATCAATAATTTAATAACTTTAATAAAAACACTGGCATGCATGCCATTCTTGTCATCACCATCGAAGCGTGTCGGTGCAGCATCCTAAACTGTACTCACCCTAACTCAAAGATCAGACAAAAACTAACTCTTTATTCACTCTCAGTCTGTGTGCTCAATCACCATGAGTCATTTCAAGTAAAGCACCAGGTGACACCAGAGCAAATGAAACATGAGTTGAAGATTGGTCTGGATCTAAATCCCTTCTGCTGAGAATTTTAAACCGATCCATCCAGTCAAAGATGTAGTGTTACTGAGTGTAATTTGCACCAAGGGGCCGACGCACCGCCTTGAGATCACACCACCGCTCCCCGAACCAGAACCTGAACATTCCCAGTCTGCGCTGCGATTGGCTGACCTCACATCAGAAGAAGAAGAAGGGCTGCACGGACGAATCAGCCAGTATGAGAGGAAGATTGACAGCTTAATGACTGAAGTCAGCTCTCTGAAGAATGAGGTCAGTTTCTCCTCTGTGTCCACGTTGATCTTTGCAGGTCTGCATCACGCAAGTCCTTTATGACAGTTTAAATAATTTATGTGGCACTTCATAACAACAATTATAAAAACATTATTTTCATATACAGTGCTTAGGAAAGCATGCAGAACACCCTCACATTGTTTATGCATTTAATTTAAGATGGATTAAATTTTGGGGCAAGTCATTTACACACAATAACCCATAAGGACAAATTGAGAACATGTTCAAATTTTCTCCAAATGTATTGAAAATCAATAAAAGAGTTGTGTCATTTACAACAGTATTCATTCCAAATTGACCCATGTCTGTGAGATTTCTCTTGAACCTTGATCAGAGTTCATCTGTGGTTAATTCAGTCATTGGACATAATTAAGAAAGGAATACACCTGTGAATATAAGTTTTTTGTTTTTTTATTCAAAGTGCTTGTCAGCACTTGTAGACCTCTGTTGAGGCATAGCTCCGGGACAAAACACAGGTAAAGTTTTGAATGTTCCCAGGAACACAGTAGTATGCCCGGTATGCTATAAGTAAAAGGTATTTGACAGCACGCCAGGGGCCAGATGCATACAACTCTGTGTAGATTCACCACTAAAACCCATATGCACAAAAATAGAAATATGCCCACAGTGAGCACTGTTCAGATTTATCAAGCTGTCTGTAAACCTTCATCGGTGGGGATGTATCAGCTATTACTTAACATCAGAAGGATGATCAATGATTCATTTATAGAGCTAATTTTTAAAAACAGACTTGCTTTACTATTCAGGATAAAATGACAAGATCATCAACAAGGAAATGATGGCTCAAATGTAAAGTAAAACGAATGACAATATTCATCCCTCAGAAATCATTTAGAGTTAAGTTTATAAATGTGCCTTTGACATTTTAGAGAACTGTGTCGATTACAAAATAACAGCATTAGCAAAACTGGCAAACAACCTGAAAAGTGTTTTACTATAAACACTTTGACCTTATATTTAATCTCTCCTGATCATTTCACCTGCAGCTATCTCTAGTGAACTGTGTGAGCTGACACATTCCCTCTGCACATTCTTCTTTTATCGATACCAGTTCGAGCGCGGGGATGCATCATTCATACATCGGCCCCTGCAGTTTACCAAAGGGCTTTTAGAGCAGGAGTAAAAAGATTGTCTGGACTGAAAACCAGGTTCTGCTAATCATCTGTATAATACCATCTCTGCTTCTACATACAACATCCTAACCAAGGGGTCTAAATACTTAATACATAAATTACAGATATCAGTTGTTGTGTTTTTTTGTAAGTTTGCACAAAATTCCAAAGTGGTGTAAAAGCATTCTCTGGGTTCAAGGTCTTGGCAATTGACTACAATTTCAATTTGCTTTATTGGCATGAATGTCAAAAGAACAATCTTGCCAAAGGATAACTCAAAAGAACAATTCTATTCATACAGTTCATTAAATCAATAAAATAAAATGAATAAAACCGTAAACATGCATCAGTGGGTGTTTAAATAAAAAAAACTAATTTAAATTAGATCATTACAATCTAATTGCACCCCATGTGATGGCAGCTGGGATACGTCAAGAGTTTCTGTGACTGTCCTCAAAGACCGCATTAACACGTTGTTTGTGTGTCTGCCCACGTGTGTTTGCATCTGTATGTATGCAGGTGGAGCTGCGGAAGAAGGAGCAGCTGCTGGAGCGTCAGTCGGAGCAGCTGAGTGTCTCCCAGCGGGTGATCACCGAGCAGGAGGAGGAGTTGGCTGAGGTGACCAAGGAGCTGGAAGAGACCGAGCGGGAGAACACACGATTACGCCAATCCATGGAGAAGATGCTGGAGGAGACCGACTACAACAGGCAGATAAACCGAACACTTTCACTGTGCTTCACATGAGAATTCTGATCAGTTAAAAATCACTTCTTCTTCTTCTTTTCTTCTCCTCATTTTTAACATGGTTTTCGAGAGTTTTTGCAAGGCTAGTGTAGTCGTTGAGACAGCCTTGGTAAATATCTTAGAGGTCAGTGTAGTTAGTTGAATAACAACATTCAGGCTGAGGGCAGGTCCTGAAGTCATGACTGTCACAGACATTGTGATTGGGCAAATACTAGTGCTGACTGATTTATCATATTTTCATCGTCGTCACGATATGAACATGCACGATAAACACATAGCAGAACTGCCTGAAATGCAATGAATAATAAAACTAATGTTAATTAGAGATGGGCACGAGCCACGGCATTAAACAGGCTAAAGACCATAGTGTTTACTATCAGGCTGCAACCTCTGCCCTGCTCTCTGTGTTGGCTGCTCCACACACACACTGGGCTGAGTGGAGGGCAGTGGAGATTATTAATATGAGATTATGTAGTGACTTTGCTGTTGCTGCTCTAGAAACAGCATTCAGTTATATTTAAAATATTCAATTCTAATTCTCTTCTGAATTTAAAGACAGCCAGGCAGCTAATATGCACACTTCAATATTTGTTTATTTATCGCAAGTCATATCGTCATTGCAATACGGAACAATGTTGTCTCAGATTTTCCTCATATCGTGCAGGCCTAGCACATACTGTATCTGTCTTTAACTTAAGTCTTGATGGTGAAAAACACACAGTCTGTACAGTGTGAAGCCTTAAAGGACTTGGCAGTGAGATATAAAACAAATTCAGCAAAGTGCCTGCTCATGTAAACCTTTGTGTGTAATCAGCAGAATTTTACTTGGGGGAAGGTGGGCTATGTGAATCGCATTAAAAGCTAAACTAAAACCAGTGCTACCTTCTGCTAGACTAGGACTGAGAGATACTGATGAAGCTTCTGACTTTCAGCAGCAGGATGACTCCTGGGAGAGAGTGGGACACCACTTTTCTGATACTTTCAGCCACAAATAAATCTACTCACATGTTTTTTTCAGCCTGAATGCTGGTGTAAATCTGACACATCTTAGCTCTCCTAAATATCAACCAAGACAGGAGTTACTTTGGAAGATGTGAATTTTTTTTTACTCCTGGCCATAAAAATTCGGACCAAATATGCATTATTTTGACTAATTCCCTACACTGAGATGCTTGATAAATACAGCACTGATCTTTAAGACAAACTCATTGGCGAGTAGTCAGAATGTCTGTCTGGTTTTCTGTCCCGTTCCCTCTGACTCAGAGCCATGCAATCTCAAAGTTAGCCATGTTTTGGGAAATGACTTTACACCCGGGATGTAGAATAGAACAACTCCTGTTTAAAGCCAGGATTAAAATATAGTGGAAAGAAGGTTAGAATTTAGATAATGCTTCTCCATGGAGTAAAGGCAGATTAAAAAAACTTTTGTTTAATATCTCGTCTTTAAATCTGTCCTCTACTACAGTTACACGTTCCTCTCACATAAACTGTTTATAATCCCAAAACGGTTCACTGCAAACAGTTCCTTTCAGCTATTACCTCTATAGAATCTCAATAACAACATCACAACGGCATGTCATGTGTGTATCAGATCACACAGTCATGTGTACTAATAGGAATATTGGTGTAATAATAGTAATAATAATAAGACAAAGTTTGTGTCCTTGCAGATTAGACAGGGACAGTATGCAACAAGACAAAGATGCTCTGCTCAGAAAACTGATGGAGGCTGAAGTGGATGGGACAGCAGCTGCCAAGCAAGTCTCAGCCCTGCGAGAATCTGTTTCCAAACTGTGCAGTGCTAGTGGCAGTGTGAGTATTAACTTAGTATTTGGCCTCATTATGTGGCCTGTGAGGTCCAACATTTTCTAGAAACCTGGGAAGCAATACTTTTACCTCCAAAGCAAAGAGCAGCACATCTAGTTGACTTAAACCAATGATTTGTCAGAACTCGTTCCCACAGCTTTCTTTGGTGAACCCATGTCTTTGTCCCTCTCTGACTTTCTGTTTGCTGGTGAAGAGGCTGTCTGGCTCTGAGTCTTCAGTCTTGGCCCGTCAGAAGGATCTGCTGCTACAGAAACTGGAGACATTTGAAGCTACAAACCGAGCTCTGCGGCACCTCCTCAGAGAGCAGCATGGATCCAAGGTAGTGTGTGACGCATCTTTAAAGCCATTGTTAAAAAATGGATAACTGAATACACAGGGAACACAGGGGTCTTCTGGATGTGTGTGCTAACTGAATGATCATATCATCATATTTCCAATATTTGAATGTCATAGTGCATTTAGAATAACACATTTCCTGGTAAAACGGAGTGGCAATGGGGCAATCTGTGTGTACTTAGCTCCTGGTTTACTAAGGCAGCAGCTCATTATGCAGCCAGCTCCCGGACTGCCAGGGAAGAAGAGCACATAGTTCAGGTGGGATTTCTGTGAGATCGCCAACAAATTATTACACAGTGATCTTGGCTTCTCAAGTTTTACTTCAACCATGAGAAAAACATGCATTACTAGGTCTAATTGTACTGATAAATGGCAGACATAGTGGCTCATGCAGCTGCGACGGCCAGAAGAATACTAGAATGCTGAGATAAATAATATATTTATATTATATTTTTGTATAAATCCCATCTGTGCTATTTTTACTCCTGCTTTGGAGAATATGCCAGCACACCTGACCATCACAAATTGGATGACTTAAATGTAAATGCTCCGTATTTGTATAGCGCCTTTCTAGTCTTTTCGACCACTCAAAGCACTTTTACACTACCTTCACCAGTCATACACTGAGCTTAAGTGCTCAAACGGAAACTAACATTCACACACTGGCGGAAGTATCTTGCCAAAGGACACTTCAACATGCCAGGGATTGAACCGCCGACCTTCCGATTAACGACCAACCCACTCTACCTCCTGAGCCACAGCCGCCCGAGTAAATGCAGCGGAATCTATGCATATGCAATAAGGAGAGAAAGGTGAACCTTGCAAACGCTTGCTAAGATGACATGCAAACTGTGACCCCAGTCTGGTGCCCGTTTGGGTAGAAATTTGCTCAGAAGTCTTGATAAACTTGACCCTGAGTGATTAATACATTTACACATATTTAAAATCCACGGAGAAGATGCTGGAGGAGACTGACTACAACAGGCAAATATTATACCAAACACTTTCACAGTGCTTCACATGAGAATTATTATCAGTTAAAAATCCCTTCTAAATGGATTTTATCAAATGATACCACAAAGCAAAGATTACATTGTCTGCAATACAACCAGGGATATAAGGGATAGTTACCATGGTTGAACAATGCCTCTGATACCTTTTTCAAAAATATATATATATATATATATATATATATGCGCATAGTTAGGGGTGGGCAATATGGCCAAAAATGTTATCACGATAAAAACATTTCATATCACTGAATATCGATAATTATCACGACAAAGATCAAATCATTATTTCTTTCAAGTTTAAAGGCTGATTTTTGCTCCTGAGTGAATATTTTAGAAACCAGACAGTTAATTGTGTGGTTAAACTTTTCTGTATGGTCAGAACGTGACAAAAATTTGATGCCAGACAGTGGATCACTTCACAAATCTGAAGTTATTATGATAAAAAAGTATATGATTAGTAAATCTTTTTTCAGTCCCTTTTCCTCAACAAAATTAATATCTTAATAGAAAAATTAAGTGCTAATTCGTTTGTGATTGAAATGAATTAAATCAAACATTTATTGATGATTATATTGAACATTTGTTTTATTGTTATTGAAGAAAATTATATTGCGATAATAATCATTATTATTTTATTGCCCAGCCCTATGTACAGGTATATATTTTCATATTCCATGACTTGTGTATTGTTAGACTGAGCAGATGGAATCAGTCCGACTGTCAGAGCAGAAGGATACATTACTCAAGAGACTGGTGGAGACAGAAGCAGAAAACACTGTGAGTTTAACAGAAGCCTTCTAAATCTACTTATATTCTCTTTTTTTTCATTCGACAGGCTAATACCTATCATATATTTTCCCCAATTTTTTTATCTTCATGTAAAGCGCATTGAAATATGCTCTATAAATAAAACTTGCTTTCCTTTTGCAGCGTCTTGTGGTGAAACTTCAAGAGAAAGACAGAGAGGTTAATCAACTCTCCCAACTTTTAGATACTGAAAAGGTAAATACAGCTGTCAGTTTTTGTGATGCTTTTTACTGTATATGGCTCTGTCAAACTGTGGAGCTGTCTCTAACAGGGCTCCAAAACAAAGCATTTAATCCTTTAGTTATGTAGGTCAAAGGAATACATATTTGTCCCTAATGTAAATTCTGCTGGATTTGGGGAATGCAGGACAATACCAAGAGCACAGCTGAACTGTCCAAGAGTCTGGAGTCAACAAGAGCTCATTTACAAGGACAGCTCCGCAGCAAAGAAGCTGAGAAGAACCGGCTTACTGTGCAGATAAAGGTTTGTCACGGTCATGATCTGTCTGTCCTAGTACATGCCATCATATGTAATTATCTATTATTATAATATGTACTTGGGAAATGACATGTGAGGGCTTATATCACTGAGGACACTGCAGTCAGAATCATTGTTGTCTGTTCATCTTAACTGTTGTTTTGATACTCTGCTGTACAAGTGGAAAGCATAAACAGTGTACCCAGCTGTAATCCTTGGTTCTGTTCTTTCCATTGGTTCAGAATCTGGAGCGAGCAGCCAATCAGCAGAAGGCAGAGATGGAGCATCTAAGGGAGCACCTGGCGAGGCTGAAGCAGCAGGCCAGTGCAGACCGAGAGGCTCTGAAACAAGCCACGCGAGCCCAGAAACAGCGAGCTGAGCGCAGCGAGGGCACTGCAGGCCAGCTGAGCGTCCAGCTGCTGGACATGGTAGGGTTGTGTCACTGAGCAGGCGGGCTGTTCTACTAAAGCTCTAGATGGATTGGTCAGAGGCACACAAGACTCACACAGGTCCCTATGATTACTCCTAATATCCTCACTAGGTACTTTTGAAACACTTCCACAGTAGTGAACTGCTCTTTTATTCCTCATGGCATTAGTTGTTTCTTTCAGTTCACTTTTAAAGAAAGCTTCAAGCCCCATCTCTCTCTCTCACACACACACCTCTTCTGCACTGGTGTTTGAAGCAGAATCATGCAGAAACATTCTACTGTGATATTAAAACAGTTTAAATGTCTTTTTAACAGGAGAAGCAGGTGGCTGATGCACTTTCAGCAGCTGAGACCTGGCAAAGCCGCTATGCCCAAGAAGTGAAAGACAAGAGTCAACTGGAGATCGAACTGTCGCTGTTGAACAGGTAACTGCAGCTCTGTTATGACTTCAGCTACAGACAGATGGAAGCGGCTGTCACACTGTGGTACTACAGATTTGGCACCAATTTTAGTTTGCATTGATGAGCTATTCACAGCTGAACAACAGCTCAATAATGGCTTGCAGGGGAGTGACAGCTCTGGTGACAGTTGATGAATGATGAAATAATCCTTCAGAAAAAAATATTTTCATTAGCTTTTTGTGAGGTTTTCAACATTATGCTTAGTATCATTAATAATTACTGAATCATAAATTATTAGTAGCATAGAATTGGGGCACATACCTTGCATCAACCGTCTTGCAAGAGGAACCATTAGGCCTTACGTTTTTTCTGTGAGGTATAAGTGTTCCAAGTAAGAATCAAACTATCTTAACTGGACAAACTTAAGACTGCTTGTTTCAACTGTTCACGTGGAGGTATCCATTTGTGATATTTGATCTTTTGCTGTAAGTAGTGGTATAAGGGGAACCCATCCATCCATTGTCAGCCGCTTATCCTGCGTACAGGGACGCGGTATAAGGGGAACCCGAATGTTTGTTGTGTTTTTTTAAATGAATTCAGCTGCCAATGACATGTCATCAGGGCAGAGCTATACTTTGACATTAGGTTAGATGATCCCCTTCACAAACTTGAATGAAGTCCCTGAGGCAGCTGTCGGAGTGAGAATATTTTTCCTAGCAACCCTGTATGCAGAATAAGTGGTTGACGATGGATGGATGGAGTTTACACATTTTAATTCAACTCAGAGTCAAGCCATCTGCACATGACTTGTAAGACAGGCCTGGAACACACATGAATTACTTCTTCCACTGAAGAAAGCATAGAAGGTGTCTTTATATTGATAAGAATTCATCAACCAGTGAAAAGTTACTGCTGGTTCTGGTTCAAAACGCCACCATTTTGGTTACATAAATGAAAGGATGACAACTGTGCAATGTGATGCAGCCATACAGCAGAGCTGACAGAGCAGCTGCAGAATACAGAGGATAAAGGCAGAACGGAGAGACAAGCCCTGCTGGATCACCTGCATGGACTGACCACAGAGATCACTGCTGCCAAACTGGAGAACCAGTCCCTCAAGGTGAAATACCCAACAGTCCACAGAAGTCTGTAGTTCACTTTACAGTGAGAACACATTTATAAAATGTTAACCTTACCTTGCACACATCAGAATATCTACATATCTGGTTTCCTTTTGTGTTTTGGATAATGTCCTTCCTATCCCCATTTTTCATTCTAATAGACTTACATTGACTTATATTACATTAGAAGGCTGCACTGTCCTGTTAATTTAATTACTGATGGCACATCATCTGAAGCTGTGCGTTCCTGTCAGGCTACAGCATCTGCAGTGGAGGAGAAGCTCGCCTTGTCTCAGTCAGAGCTCCAGCAGGTCAAAGCTTCCATCAAGCAGTATGAAAGTCTGCTGGACAGCTATAAGATCCAGGTGCGTGAAGCATACTGTAATAACAGGAATCCAGCAGTATGAGATGTGATAACACAGCAGATTACAGTCCAGTGTACACTGTTCATCTTCATGCAATGTCTGAACCCACTTTTTCTTTCTGTTAACCAACTCTGCACAGGTTGGAAAAACCCGGGCCGAGGCGGATGAGTACTGTGCTCGGCTGGCTCTGGCGGAACAGGAGGCCCAGGCGGTGCGGGGAGAGCTGGAGCGGGACATAGAAGAGGTGCGCAGGGAGCTGCTGGGGCGGCTGGCGGAGCTGGAGCCTCTTCCCGAAGCCTTACGACGCGCCGAACTCCAGCTGGAGGAGGCTCAGGACAGGGAGCGCAGCCAGGAGAGACGCAGCATGGAGCTTAGCACGACCCTGACTGACCTCCGAATGAAGGTCACACACTGTCCTATGCATGCAAGCTGAAATTAGCATCACAAAATAATAATTAAATTCCAAGCTAAAGTTAATTTGAACATTAATCAGATGATACCACATTGATTTTGAGGAAACAATAAGACAGAGCTAAACACCTGCCTCCATACTGCTCTTTTGCATTGTCATTTGTAAAACCAGTTTGATTTGCTGAATTCTTATGGTAAAAAAGATTTTGGGGTGCCAAGGTCGCTCACCTGGTAGAGCGCGCACCACGTATCAAGGCTGAATCAGCCTGGCTGCACTACACTTTCAGCACAAACAGGTTATCAATTGGCAGATAGAAAATTAACTCCAAACTGTTTTATCTATAAAACCAGGAAACATAACAAGTGATGTAATGGAAAATGTGGTTTCAATTTTGAATTATAGTAGCACTAAAAACTAAATTGGTATGTCATAGAGGCATTCATCTTCACCAAATGTGTAACTGAGGTTTACAAGGACTTGAACACTTTTGCTCTTAAATGAAGTGCCACATTAATAGAATTTATAGTCTGACCACAAGCATGCTATTAGTTTTAATAATAACTCTTAGTAGGAACCCAAAGACTGCATTCCAACTCACCTGATAAAGGATTGGGCTTATGTTGTGTTAGGTGGAGACCCAGGGCAGCCAAATGGAGCTTCTAAGACAGAAGAACAAGGTACAGCTGGAGGAGAAAAGACAGCTTCAGCAGCGAGTGGAGGGTTTGGAAAGGTAGGTCACCACTTAGCCTAGCCATCTTTGCTACCCTCTGGTCAGCCTACCCTACCCTATGCAGCACACCTATCAGTTAATGACCAGCAAGTGTTCTTCCTCCCTCCTAGTTGTACAGCTCTAACCTTTTATCTCAGCTCTAACCTTTTATCTCACCTGTTTGAGTAGTTTCATCACTACTATTATTACGTACTACTATTGAGTTGCATGCATAACACTTGCATATGTGCTGGGAAAAACAAGCTCTAAAACTACATATACCTCATAATGTCATTGTTAATAGCATAGCTTGTAAAATGATATGAATCAGGGCACTGTTGATTGCTGTTGTCGCTTTCCTTTCTTGTGTCACCTTGCAGAAAGCTGGAGGAGGCTGGCAGTCAGAACAGCGACCTGCTGGCCGTCATTGCCAAACGGGAAGAGACCATCAAAAGCAATCAGCTCCGTCTGGAGGAAAAAACAAGGGAATGTTCCCTGCTGAGCCGGAAGCTGGAGGAGTCTCTGAATGATGCTCACCAACAGGTGTGAAAGTGACAACAGCTGTTAAACATCAGTGATACAAAGTGTGTGGTTAAAGAATACAGTAGTAGTTCATTTCAGTAAGACCTCTGCAATGACACAAAAAGAGATACAGATGCAGAGGTTCTTTGTCTGGGAAAAGAATTTAACCTGAGCCCCTTGTTTCATTCTTTTTTTCTTTTTTTCTCTCTAAACACATGCTTACACTTTTCACCCAAGGGCTACTGCAGCTTGGGTGTGTAGGCCTGTGTTTAAATATAAGCAAGGCCGCTTTTGAAGTACATGTTGTTAGCGACATATAGGGATATATCAGTTCTATGTACTATTTATCACCCACTGCTGCCCATTAATTAAGTCCAATGTGTCATATATATCTGCAGATGTCAGAAACCAGAGAACGTGCTGCAACCAAAGAACACTCCACCCAATCCAAGATATTGGACCTAGAGACCCAACTTAGCAGGACTACCTCAGAAATCAACCAATTGCGACGCAACAAAGAGGAGGTAAAAGTAAAGTAACTCTTATAGTCGAAATCTGTAAGGATCAGCTGTGATAGTAGGTCTGTAAGGTGTGTATTTATGATGCTCAGGTGGAACGGCGGTATCAAAGCCGACTGCAGGACGTGAAGGATCGCCTGGAGCAGTCAGACAGTACCAACCGAAGCCTGCAGAACTACGTCCAGTTCCTCAAAGCCTCCTATTCCAATGTGTTTGGAGACTTGGCCCTAAGCAGCTCACTGCGAGCCCCCTCACCCATCTGACATCCTGTCTGTCAGACGTGTAAAAGTACTGTGGTTAGAGTGTGTTACTTTAGATTTGTTAACAAGAGCAGGAGTCTGTAAGGATGGTCAGTGGCCTGGTTGCTTGTTTCATGCCGCTTTAAAACTGCTGGGGAAGAGCTGTAGTATGTAGGCTGGTAGTACTTTTAGAATGTGGACTTGTTTCTGGAAAGATTTGTTTAGAACTTAATTGGTAGACAATAAAAAAAATGTAATTGGATTAAAACATAATTCTAAAAAACAGATATTTTGTAATATTAAAGCCCTTAAATTTAGGATTAAGAATTGTCTTTGTTGACTCTTAGTGGTAGTATCAACACTGACAGACAGCAATAAATGCACCCCTTTCCACGGCTCTCCCCACTCCATGGATTTGACCCAGAGTAGTTTGAAGATTCTATAAACACATGTGAAATGTAACCATAGGGTTTTTAACTGAATGAGACAAGGCATTTGTTGAAGGTCTCAAGACTAGATTGAAGGTCACCTCCAACATCACTTTACCAACTCATATTTTACCAGAAGCTTTTATACACCTAATGTATTTCTATCACCATGTTAGTTTTGAATAATCATAAATGAGTTGAGAAAACTACAGAGAGGAGACAAGGGCTTCACAATTTATTAAGCATAAAGAAAATTAGGACACTTGCATGTTTAATATATTTTTATATTTTTTTTCTTTATCCAGATCGGGGGTGTAGAATGGTGTACGGATTGCAAATCTCCCTGAGGTTAATTTGTGGCTATATAAATAAAATGTACATGACTTGATATGTTGGATTGGCTGGGTGTTAGTGAAGCTTAGTGAACGGTGTGCAGCTAGCATCTCACGTCAAATTTTAATACTTAAATTATAATACATAAAAATGAAAAGCTTGATGGTTCACAAAAAGGAAATAAAAAGGTTGCACTCGGCGTCTGTAATCTGGAGCCCTTCATCTGACCAGCTCGCTCTTGCTGCTGCTTTAAACATTCCTTACCATACTTTACTATTGTAATGTTTAAAACTGTCTAAAATATAGCGGTCAGGCACAAATTCGCTGAAGACAACTAATGGGGCCTGTAGACTCCATTGCTATTGCGATAATGAGTTAAGACAGACTGAACAAAAGCTGCAGTGTTTGGTCTGGAAGCATTTTGTGCTACAGTTTTTCACTAATTAGTTTTGATGGCACCTTCTAGCTTTTCAGATTGAATGTTGTCTTCAGAAATGTATGATGGTATGTTGAAGTCAGTCCGTATTTTGCATGCCAAAAACAACAAGACTACACGCTATCTTTTATTTTCAAGCTAAGCTAGTCATGACAAAGGGTATTACCAGGATTAACAGACTATACTGTATTTCTACAGCTAGATATTAAAACAATGGATTTTAGTTTTTTTACATATACAACTGTAGCTAAGCCATCCATGGCACATTACGTGCTTAACTGTACTTGTGCTTTGAGTTTTTATGGAGCTGAAAACATTGGTGCTATCGCTTTCCTTTGGCTGGTGCACGACAATGCATGTCGAAATAGTTATTTTGGGTTTACAGTTTTACATACTACATTAGTAGAATCAATAATTGTTGATCTTGTTTTTTCATAAGTGTTTCATGGAGTGTATTTAAACAACTGAATAATTTATATCCACCATGGATAACTTAAAAGTGGAAATAAAACAACAAAATCTCAGTGAAACTGAAAATTGGTGGTGTATGTGTCATTTTCTCAGCTCTCATCAACTCTCTCTGTCTCTCTAATATTCACAATGAATTCACCTGTAAGATAAATTGTCCCTTTTAACTACTCACATAATCATTTTAGGGGATGCATATGAACAATATGGAGGTGTGATTAGATTTGAAAAATGTATATTTTTAGTTTACATTAGGAGAGGGTTGTTAAAAAATGGAAGTAACAGGGAAAAGAATGTATCAACCAATATGTAACAGCTAATGAACAGATGATCTCCCTGTGGTAGTCAGCTGATAGGGAGGCTGCTGAAGGAATTCTCCCAGACAACACTGATGGTTATAGAGAGATTATGTAAGAATGAAATGCTTATAATTCACAGTTGAACACAGACTTTGCATTGCAGTGTTAATAAGTGATCGGTAGTCAAGATACAGTGCATTCTGTATCAACAATGTAGCCTGAGCTTACAGGGATGGGAGTACAATGTTTCGGAGTAAAATTAAAACTTTCAACCCATTACCCTGCACTCACCATTATTTTATGCTTGCCTATCAATGTGAAAGGCCGTCTGTCCTGCTTTATCTTTTATTTATCTAAAATGTATTATTGTGCCATTGTGAAGGAAAATATATGCTTCAACATTTGAACATTATGATTTCGAGCCTCGCCACCAGCTTTCAGTTGTGATTATTAAGTGCTGTTTGGTGCCACAGCCTGGATTACTGCTTAACATTATAAGAATGTGACAATCAGGGTATAAAGAACTGAAGTGCTGTAACTAGAATGTTGTACTCAGAATGTCGGGTGATTCCGGTATGTGTCGGTTCTTTCCGTACAGCTGCAGAAAATTACGTCACATTTGGTAAAAAAACGACAAACACCCATCTCAAAGAGCAGCCTCTCATCCTTCGTCGTCGATCCGCCTGGACAACCAGCAAGGTTACTTTGGAAGCTCTGTAGAAAACAGACCGAGGTATGGAACGTGCATGTATTTATGTTGCTCATTTTAAAACAGATGCAGTGCACACTGTGCTACAGCTCAGCTTTCCTAGATCCTTGTTCTGTAAATTCAATTTGTCGCTAGCTCGGTGGCTAACTTAACGTTAGCTAACCCAAGCTGCAGGCGTTCCCTGTATTGAATGATATTTACCGTACAGTTGGTAAAATAACGTTAGACAAGGGTTTCTAGTTCGCCTCTAAGATAAAGTAGCCAGTGGGTTAGATATTATCGAAATGTTAGCATTAGCCACCCTACTAAATGGCATTAGCTTGCACTGACATCCATCCATCCATCTGCGTTGTATTCAGACAATGGTTGTTTTAAACATTTATAAGACGGTGTTTGTAACATCGTCAGCTAGCGTAACTGTTAATGTGATGTTTCCGTCTTGAAAGTGCGCAGTTATTATTCTGGTTGTCTGGTTAAAATGTTGACGTTAGTGAACCTAACCCAGGGGTTTGACTTGAGCGGCTAGCTAACGTTAGTCCTCTAATTTACATGTAACTTACTGTAACGCTAACCAAATATGATTCACCAATATTCATTAAAATATGTCTTTCCTCATAGTTTGTATGTTATGTGGTTTCAATCAGTGAATAAAATTTCACTGAATGAAGAATGGCCAGGTTATGTAGGTGGCTAGTTAGCTTGTCGGCCATGGCTGAAAGGGAGCCGCCCAGTGCAGTTGAATACCTTTGGACATATGGACCCAGCTGTCACTCCTCTTATTACCCTGCATTTATTTAAATGCGGACAGTGCCACGGTTAATAATGTACACGTGTCCGTGGAGGACGGTTATTCTCAAATGCACTCTGTGAGACCGTTTTGACTACGTTATTGTCATTGGCTAGCGTTACATGCTTTTAAAGAGTGGACCAAGGATAAGAAAATACGCTGGTATTTCCAACAGAGCATGACGGAATATAATTTGCATAAATATTGTGTATAGTTTGCAGAAGTACGGTTGTGGATATTAAAAACAGCTGGAGATGTCATAACATGAAGGCGCTATCTCACACCTGCAACCTAATGTTACTGTCCCGGCAAGTGGCTTTGTCAGGGTGGTGCCAAGTTCTTCACATACCAGTTGCCCCAGCCCCTCCACTCAAGAGGAACTAAGATAGAAAGCTGCACCACACAGCCTGCAAGACAGAGGTTAAGCACCACAGGAATGAAAGGTGTACCACAGTAACTGCTGAGAGTTGCATCATTAACCATAAACACTGTTAAAGAGGAAATGTGTGTAGTCCTTTTATTAGCTTAAGAACATTATTTGATTCACACAGTGGTCATACAGAAACTGGTCATATATTAGAAAAAACATTTGAAAAGTTGACCTAAATGTGCGATTTGGTTTTTCCTCTGACCTCAACTGTAGGAAGCCCCTTAGCAGCCAAATGTAAAATGGCAGCAGTGGGAAAAGCAATCACCTAATGTCACTGTGATACAGAAACATGGGACAGCTTTTTGAGCTGTACCACCCAAAATACTTACCAGATACTCCCAGGGCAAATTATATGTCCATCTATGCTGCCTCATTTTAATTGGATTGTATTACAATCATCACTTGAATACAGGTCATATAAATATTGTTCTCTGACTTATGGCTGACATAGACCCCGGATGATTATTTAGAAGACTCTGAACCACTTCATTTCCTTTTCTTCTGTGTCTCTAGTTCCCTAGTTACAGCTGGGTACACTGTAACATGCCTGTTGAACGGGCATGTTTTACTATTATTGTATAATTTTTCAATAAATATTTAATTACTTGGCTGAATAGCTGAACTGAGGCATCAGGAAATGTACATCACTTAGCTATCACAACATTTAGTACACTCCATCTCACATAATGGTGTTAAAAGGCCATTCATGGAGGGTGGGGTCAGTCTTTCCTGCATGGTCATTTCTGCAGGCATTTGTAATCCACCTCTTTGTTTTGCTGTTAAGTAATATTGATAACTTATTCAAATATAGATGTTGCTATATACCAAGACCGCTGTCAATTAAAACCTACATATTGCTTTTCCTTAAACTCCCTCTTAATCTGTACAGCCTACACATCTTTTTCATGACTGTGACCCAAATAGAAAATAGGCCTCCTTGTCTCCAGGGCTGTCAGGTTTGGGGTTGGGCCTGCACGTACAGTACAGCCTGGTAACTCATTGTCATTCTGCTGCTAGCATGAACTACTTTCCAGACATGATGAGAATCTGTTTGTATGGAAGACTCAGGTTGTTTCCATCGCAAGTGTCCAGTGATTGTTGATTGCATTGAGTGCTGAAACATTATCATTAACTTCAAACTTAATGCTTCCTGTAAGAGCATCTTGTTATTGTGACTGCGCACTGTTATTGATTGTGTGATCAATGTTATGCCCTACACAGATTAGCCTACACAGATACACAGCATGTCAACCTTTACTAAACCCAAACTCAAGGTAACATCCATGTTTGTCTTACTGCGTGCTTCTGTGTGTGTGTGTTTGTATCTGTCTGTTAGTTTGTATAGAAAAGAAGATTCGGTCAGTTGTGATTTGTTTTGCTGAGTAAAGGGTTGGGGGAGAGCTGGAGGGAGGGGTAGGAGGTACAGAGCAGAGAGACGCATGGGCTGGGCTACATCTTGGCTTGCTCTTTTGTACAGCATAGTCACTGCAGGTGCAATGCGTCTGTCTGTGCTGCGGAGTAGATGAGACTTTGCTTCCTCAGTCACTTTCGGATTGTTAAGGAGTGTGCTACAGATGGACATGCTGCTGCAGACTATGATTTTGCCACAGATGTAGCCTTCTGATCAGCCGCAACGCAAGAAAACTAGAGGATCCACACTAGAAAAATCTGGTGTGTGTATCATTTAGGTTTTGCACTATTTGTCTTACTTTCAGCTTAGCTCAGTCTGTATGAAAATGGAATGTTTGATTTGAATGTCGTGAGGTTTTGGTAAATGGGTGGTGATTTGAATTGTGTTACTGTTGGCCGTGATTTATGCTGAGCCAGGACTGTCCTGGTTTAACAATGAATAACTCTGGTCTCACACATCATCAGTATGGTTCAGTAAGTTCATTTTTACTGCATGTCTTTTGTTGTTGTGGTATTCTTTGCATGAAAATGAAGTGTGATCTTGCCTTGAAATAGATGAACGTGTTGGCAAAAAGTCTGACACAGCGTTCAGTCCTTCAGAAAACATTGGTTGGAGATTGGTTTGCAAACTCATTGATGCCTGCAAGTTGTCAGCCTAGGAGAAGTGAAAGGCTAGTTTAACTGACTGGACAGGAGCTTCTGTCAATACTCTTATATTAATCATGTTTGCCAGGGCTACTGCTATTTCATAGAATGTTTTTACTGCAGATTCTATTTAGGTAAACTACATTTCAGAGACAGAGAGAAGTGAGGGTGTAGGCTTCTTGTGTGTCTGAGTGTAGGGAGAAGACAAATCCGAGGAAGCAAAGCGTATTTAACATGTTATTATAATAATGTTACTGTGAACCTCTTCAGATGTGTCTACTTTGAAAAACCCATTCCTTGGTAAGGTCTCCATCTTGTTGTAAAGCAAAGGGCAGTAAGTGGCAGGTACAAAGTTCAGTTCAATGAAAAGGAAGAGACGTGTTGTTGCTGTTAGGTCATCGTCTTCATCCTAGCCTCATGAGACGCTCCCATTTCCTGCAAATTCCTTTAACTTCCATCCTCCCAGTATGGCGTCAGTATGACCCCTATTCATAACAGATGGTTCACCATAGTAACTGGGAGTTGCTAAGTGAACGACTTTATTTGAATCAGTCAGAGTTCCTTGAGTAATTGTTTCAGCCCTACAACTTCTGTAGCCACGTTAGCTGAGGGAGTACTTATATGCCTCCATACAGAAGGACTTTTTGGCCAGAAAGGTGCTAATAGTGACAGTGACTGGGCCTTTGCTGTTTCCATTCTGTATCTGTAAAAGTGGAAAATGGGACTTTGGGAGGGCGTTGATCTTTAGTGTCACATGCAGCTGGCACAGTTCCCACACATTACATTTTA